ATGAGGTTGATCTTGAGGTCCGGGGGCTGTTGGCTTCCTGGTGCAGAGTGCGAGGAGGCTAGGTACCATCGGTAGATGTCGTTGTCGCCGAGGTTGTTGACGTCGGTGATGGCGGCGTGGAAGGCTTGGAGGGCTTCAGGAGTTTCGGTTGCAAAGGCGGCGCGTTCAGCGATTAGGATGCCTTGCTGGTTGTCGATGGTACCAAGGATAGCGATGCGGCGGCCACTTTGGTCTTTGGGGTTGGGTTAGTTGTGTTGCTTGGAATGCTTGGAATGGTCTTGTCTGGATGGGCAGGGAGGGGTGATGGAGGGGCTGGCTGGCTGGTGGTTGGGTTGCTTGCCTTGTTTGAGGAGTCTGCTCACCTCGAATTTCGAGATAAGCGCCTCCGGCGAGACCTTCGCATCGTTAGTCGACATTGTGAGGGGCCTGTTGAAGATTAGGGGTGTCTATAGAAGTTGTTGTAGAGCGTTGACCCTACCCCAGATATTTGTTCTGGCGGCAGAATCTTGAGGGCGGTCAGGCTTATCTATATGGATTCTCTATCGGATCGTGGTATTGGCTTGGCTCTAGCAGCTATCTAGATGGTTGTGATTACAGAACTTCTTCCGTTGGGTATCTCCGGTCATGCGCAGCTAGCCTGGTGCTCCATTTCCTGTCCTTGAATCTGGTAGCCTTCCGGAGAGATCGCAGTCTGCATAAAGCGACTCGGAGCTTGGACGTCCCTTCCACCTATGGCCTGCCGCTAGTGTCACGGCTCTAGCATAGTCCTTGTCCATATATGGCTGATTGCAGTAGGTAGGCGGTGTAGCTTCGTGTATGGCGATGTACGCATCGAATAGGGGACTTTGCGCATGTGTTGACAGGGTTGGTTAAGGAACTCATCCAGCCCGCGGTTACGAATGTGTAGCCCTCGTTTTGGATGAGATTTTTCACCGCAAGCCTTCCCTCATGTAGACGATTGCTTTTCACTGTCAGGGGTCGTATGCATCTACACTGCGTTAGCCTGAGGATGACCCGTATATGTTTATCGACCTACCACTTCAGCCAGCTTAATCCACTCCTCCACTCCCTTAACAAAGGTTTCATCTGCCGCAGGCACAAGCTCATGTCCCCAGACCACATATTCGTCAAAGCTGCCTTGCTTCTCAAGGACCTTCACGGGCTCTTCTGGTGTGACTTCCTCGACCTCAACGTCGGCGCTCGTACGGGTAGCAGGCATCGTACGGTCTGTGGGGGTTGCAATGACACCTAAATCAGGCTGATTAATTGCATGTTCAAGATCGATGTCCTGGGATAAACCTTACCCTCGTAGCCTTCGGGGATTGCGACTCGGCGGCCCCTTAGCTTGCGGCCGCGGAAGTAGGCTGTCTGCAGGTTCTCATCTGTAATTCATGAGCAAGGGCTGATAATTGCCGGGTGCGAAGCAGTCAGTCTATACCTTTCTCATCAGTGGTAGGCTTCCAGTAGCGACCTAGCGTGTCAACGGGGCCATCGTGGTGGATGCGACAGGGCAGGATGTTCGGAGTGAATTTATCGGTTGAGGGCTCGTTGAAAGAGTTCTGGGCGGTTTGGATGGCGAACATCTCGAAATGTGTCAAGCGGAATTGCGTGCAATGCAGTCTGTGAAATGTAAAGTTCGAAGACTTCGTTGTTCTTTCTGTTGAATAGTCAATTGCACTATAGATGTTCGGGATGATGTCGGCAAGGATGAATTGAGGAAACGCGACGCGTAGTCGCGAAAAGAGCGGTTCATTCCGCGGTCCGCTTTAGTACCAATTGGCGGGGGGCATTGATTGCGGCATGTCATTAAATGATATACAAGCGTTACGAGACACATCTCTACAGTTTCAGAAGTTTAATATAATGCTTGTCTAAATTCTATTTACTTATATTCTCTATACATAACCTTCAACTTCTTGAACTTGGGGTATATCGAACAGAACCAGCCATTACATCCTGTAAACGCTTCACCTCTTGCGGGTCTTCTTCTTCTTCTTTTTCTTCTTCTTCTGATCATCGTCTTGGTCTTTCTTTTCGACCACTACTCGCACAGGCCACTTCTTAAGATGTTCCCGCTCGAACGTGTCCTTGTCCCGCCGGTACAGGAGCATCGTAGCCCTAGCATCCTCCACACTGGAATGCGCGCCATCCTGGATCTCCAACCCAAGGAACTCCGAAGCCAACATCTTCAACCTAGGGGAGCCACCGCCAGCAATCTTTCTGTATGGGGCATGTTTGCTGGTGTCTCTGATGTCGCGCTTGGGGTGGCTGAGAAGAAGAGCGTCCAAGTCGTTGCTGACCGCATGTCCCACGAGTATTCGCCCGTCGAGGATATTGATAACGTCTTTCTGCACTTGTTCGAGTGTTCGCGCCTCCACCATATGCTTCGGAAGGATACCGCTGACATGCGTCCGCCAGTCCGTAACCATTTCTTTGGGTCTCACGTAGGAGTCGTATATTTGTTCGCCGTTGAAGTTGACGATACTAACTCGCGCGAGAGCGGAATCGTGATCGGGATTGGGGCCAACGCCCACCATTTCGCAATCCATCGCAACATATTTTCCTAGTTCCGCGCTGATAGGACGTTAGTAGTTATTCAGAGTAATGACTTCTCGCAAAATCGGCAACAAAAGTGTACTCACGTAGGTGAACGGCCTTCATTAATCTTCGGCTTTGATTCCGCAACAGTGACCGTAGAATTCCTCCGAGACGTCGACTTCTTTGTAGGCTGCTCAGCGCCATTCTCGCCGCCATCAGTACCGTTTGTAGACATTCTTTTTCTCTTGGCCGAGACCAGTTTGCGCTCAGGTTTTTGTTGTCCGTCGACAGTTTCTCTTTTCCGCTTCTTTACCACACCATTCTCCGTCTCGCGATCTGAGGGTTTCCGTTTCGTGGTGGAGACGCTGTCCTTTTTAAGCGTCCCCTGGAGTTTCTTCCAATTGCTGGAGAGGTTTTTCAAGTCCATTCCAGTGATGAGCCTCCAACTATTGCATGGTGAAGGGATCTGAGAATCCAAGAGGGGCCGGAGGAAAAAGATGGGCGCTGCGGAGACTGGCCCGGCAACTTTCCAAAAGCAACCTTAACGGTCCGCGCTAAATTTTCGGACGGGCCCACCTGCAAGTCTCGAACGCTGCGAAATAGATATTGCTGGTCAATATGCAAAGTGTATTCTACGGACTATTTTACAGTGTATATATCGGGTCTTGGTGGGTAGAACTACCAGAAGCACTGAGACCTAACTATAGTCGTGAAGTTCATGGATTTAGTTGAGGCTCATACAAACTTTTCTATGTCCAGCACTAGCCATATTACGTGGAATCTATCTTGAAAGAACCGACACAAGCAAACGCCAAAAGAGTAAATATTTACAGACCCGGAACCTTGAAGTCCTTGTGAGACCACTTCACTGTCACGTCTCTCTTCGCCTTCTTTGCCTGCGTCACCGGCTTGCGAGACTCCAGCTTTCCTTGAACAACCAAAGTGCGGAATCGGTCGTCCAGCAGGTTGCCCTCGGGCTTGAGCAGACGCAGAGAATCCTGCAACTCGTCTGGCAACACAACCTCCAAAGGCTTCTCAGGAGCGCTATTGATTGAATTAGCAGGGCTCCAAGCATAAACAGACAAGTAGAACACTTACTATAGCTTTCCACCAAGCGGTCTCCGACGCAAAACGGTATCATCACCCTCTTCGGAAGAGCTGTCCTCGGATTCATCGGCACGAGCAAGCTCCTGTGCTTCCACACGTTCGGCGGCCTCCTTAGCCTTTGCAGCCTGCTCTTCCTTCCTCTTCATCTGCTCTTCCCATCTGGCCTGCCTCTCTGCTTCCTTGCGTCTCTTTATCTTGTTCCTCTGTGCCTTCGTCTTCCGCTCCGGACGCTTCTTATTCAGCCAGTCGGGCTTCTCATATTCGCTTTCAAATCCTTCCCATGCGCTTTCATCGTCGGACTTCACCATACCATCATCATCTTGGGCTTCTGCGATTAAGCGCTGCCTTTCTTCTTCTTTACGCTCTTCCTCTAGGCGCTTCTTCTCAGCTTCAACCGCCTTCTCTCCCTGCTCCTGCAGCAGCCGATCCCAGTCCTCGAACGTTGGGTTGTAACTGATTCCGGCAGTAGGCTTGCGGACCGCGGGAACCGGCTTGCCATTCGCAGCGAGTGAGATCGGAGCCTGCTTCAAGGTTACCGGCTCTACCTTGGGCTTCGGTTTCTCCAGGAAATCGAACTGAGGATCGTCCAAGGGGGTGGGATCCTCTGCATCTCCCCAAGGGTCGTAAAGGTCATTTTCAGCGGGCTTGTTGACCGGGTTCCCTTCCTTAGCCACCTGCTTCAAACGCAACCAGTCTTTCCTCGTGACCCAGTCGCTCTTTTGACGCTTGTTTTTCGGCTCGATAACACCGTCGGTAACCTTGGAGTTGGTGCGCTTGCGTGTGTCGAAACCTGGGATAGCGGAGCGTTGCGCCAAGATTTCTTCCGACTTCAAAGGCTTGTGCTTCTTTCGGTACGCTTCACGGATTTCTGAGGAACCCTTGGTGTCGATAACGAACAGCTCATCGGACGGCTTCTCAGAAAGAAGACCACTAGAAGAAAGCGACCAGAATTAGCTTATTGTGACCGACGTTGGTAGAGAAGTAACATCAATCCTTACCCTTTAATCTCTTCTTCCTTCAGAACCCGAAGGCCTTCCTGAACCTCATCGATATCGACATTTTTGCGCCAGGCCTTCTTGCCTTTGCGAGAAGGCTGCTTATACTGCTTTGGTGCACTGACGGCTTCAGACATCTCGGAGACCCCACCGGAATTTAATCGGTGTGCAGTACTCTTGTAAATATTTGATCTTTTTTCGGAGTACTAATTTTTGAATATTCCAACCAAAATTCTGGACCCGCTTACCTAAGAATGCGCGGGGCGACGCTAGTGCGGTTGTCGCGCTAAGGTTCTGCGCGCCTATCGCGGGCCAGTGACGAACGCCGCTTCAGGACTTGACCTTGCTTTTCACCCGCGTCGGTTCCTTATCGACTCTGGTCAGCCTGGACCAAGCAGTCCAAATCGTTAATTCATTTCGTCTCTGATTGCGCTTCGTCGCTGTTTATACTACCTTTTGTTCTTTATCAATTTGTCGCGGTCAGCGGCTGCAGATCTGCCCAGCCATGCCTGTCGTCAAAGGAGGTGTCTGGTAAGTGCATAGCTATTATGCATGCTTTTTGTTGCATTTCACTAACCGTAGCTAGGACGAACATCGAGGATGAGGTGCTTCGCGCGGCGGTATGCTACAACTAACTCTTGTCCAAAAGCCGACTAGTCTGCGATTGGCGATACTAACGCTACATATAATAGGTCTCGAAGTATGGTCTCAACCAGTGGGCGCGTGTCTCTTCCTTGCTAGCACGAAAGACACCAAAGCAGTGCAAGGCGCGATGGGTGGAATGGCTGGATCCCGGCATCCGCAAGGTCGAATGGTCGAGGGAGGAGGATGAGAAGCTGTTGCATTTGGCCAAGTTGATGCCAACACAGTGGCGTACAATCGCACCTATCGTGGGACGGACAGCAACACAGTGCTTGGAACGCTATCAGAAACTGCTGGATGAAGCGGAAGCGCGTGAGAACGATGAACTTGCTTTGGAAGGACCCGGCGCAGAGTCAGCTGCTCCCAGTGCTGACGATGTGCGACGGCTACGGTACGACTCTTGACATTACACGCTTTGCTAGCTTCTTTTTCATATGCTGACAGTATCTAGACCCGGCGAATTGGACCCCGATCCGGAATCTAAGCCCGCTCGTCCTGATACCATTGATCTCGATGAAGATGAGAAGGAAATGCTGAGTGAAGCTCGCGCTCGTTTGGCGAACACACAAGGAAAGAAGGCGAAGCGGAAGGCCAGAGAGCGACAATTGGAAGAATCACGACGACTTGCAGTCCTCCAGAAACGACGTGAACTCAAAAATGCTGGCATTAACATCAAGGTCGTTACCCGCAAGCAGGGTGAAATGGACTATAACGCCGACATCCCATTCGAAAAGCCAGCAGCCCCCGGATTCTACGATACCATGGACGAAGAAGCCCGCAATGAAAGGCAACGTGAGATGTTCGATCCTCGCAAACAGCAGCTCGCCAACAAGCGGAAGGGAGACCAGGATGACGAGGCGGAGCGGAAGAAGAGGAAGAATGACAAGGGTGGAAATTCCGCGGCGTTCGCCGCTGCTGCCCGTGCCGGCCAGATGCAGAAGATCCGCGAGGCGGAGCAAAGCAGCAAGCGAAGATCTCTTGTCCTCCCGGCCCCTCAGGTCAGCGAAGGTGAAATGGAAGACATCATCAAGATGGGTATGGCAGGTGACAGAGCCAGTAAAATGGCAGGAGACGAAGAAGGGGCTCGTGGTCTGGTCGGAAACTATACTGGCATTGTCGGTGGAACTCCCATCAGAACACCTCGCGCGCCGCCAGAGGAAGATCACATCGCGAACGAAATCCGCAACATCAGAGCTTTGACCGAGACCCAATCATCGTTACTGGGAGGCGAGAACACTCCTCTGCATGAGGGAGGGTCTTCCACTGGATTTGATGGAATTGCTCCGCGTCGTCAGCAGATTGTTACGCCCAACCCCATGGCAACACCGTTTAGGCAAGCCAATGGCGTCGGTGCAACCCCTATGAGAGGTGGTGTTGGGCCTGGTGCTACTCCCTTGCGGACCCCTCGGGATCACTTCGCTCTGAACCAGGCAGAAGGTGGGCAGCTGATTGGAAGTACCCCCAGAGATATTAAGATGCATGAGAATTTCATGCGTCAAAACATCCGCAGCAAACTGGCAGCTTTGCCAAAGCCCAAAGAAACGGAATGGGAGCTGGAAGAGCTTCCTTCCGAATCTACGGAACCAACGGCTGCTGCCGAGTACGTGGAAGAGGATTCCGCTGAGCGCGATAGGAGGGAGAAGGAGGCTCGAGAGCGCGCCGCAGCGGCCGAGTTCAAGCGTCAGTCACAGGTATACCAGCGATCCCTACCTCGGCCGAGTGTACTTGATATCGATGCTATGATGGAACGGGTGTCTCACATCACGGATCCCATCTCCGGTCTTATCGCAAAGGAAGCCGCTCTTCTTATTGCGCACGACGCCCGCAAATTCCCCACCCCAGGTGCTAAAGTGGAGGGCAAAGCTCGCAAGCTGGAGCAATTAGATGACAGCTTCATGGAGCAAGCCCGTGCGGCTATTGCAGCGGAAGCCGCCACATCCGAAAAGCAGCAGGAGTGGCAGGAAAACTTCGACGAGCAGTGGACTACAAAACATTCCAGCGCGCTACCAGGGCTTTCCAACTACGCTGACGATGAAGAGGAGGATGTGTACCAGCAAGAACAGCGAATGATTGCAGCGTTTGACAGTGTACAAAACTCTCTGTTGGCCACGGCAGAACGGGGCAACAAGCTGGAGAAGAAGCTCGCTTTACATTACGGAGGCTATCAGAACCGGGCGAAGATGCTCCGCACTAAGATAGTGGAAGCCCACACGGCCCTAGAGAAGACGACGGATGAGCTGGATGCCTTCCGTACTCTGCAGATCTCGGAACAGTCCGCTCTCTCACGGAGACTTGAGAAATTGAGAGACGATGTGGCATTCGTGATGCGCAGAGAGCGGGAAGCTCAAGACCTGTATAGGACCCGGAAGGACGAGCTTGATGAGCTCGTGGCAGGAACAGGGGGAATGGTTAATGGGTGGCATTGAGTGGTTTAAAACAGATACCTAGCTTGAAACTGAATCTGCATTTCTGCAGCTCGAAATGTAATTATACTTTCCTATCTACTACTAGAGACTACTACCGACGTGCTCTGCTGGCTTACTGGTGTGCTCCGACATTGCTAGTAGTATTGATGCTATTGCGATCGCACTCACATCATGGTTGCACTATTTAGCGGATAAATATACTGAAGCTATATAGTAGTATGCTTTTCTCTACAATGGCAAGAACCAGATTAAACGAAATCCATAATACTTTATATTAACCACTATGATACCATATTCTAAGCGATTACAATCCAGACACCTCAACTCGCAAGCAATGGCATGGTTAATATGGGTGATATCGACTATTACCACTGCAGCAGGCACAAACCCGACGGATCCATCAAAGTAACCGGCGCAGCTGGGGATGGATGGATGACCAAAAGCGGATGGCAAAAATCTAAGGCGGTCTCTTCCGGTGCATCGCAACGGAGAATCCTCCATCACCTCCTACAATCCCCTTTCGCGTTTCCATCGCGCAATCCGCTCCACATAGCGATTTCATCTAAGAAACCTTTATACATATACTGAGAATCACCCCTTCTTCAATATGGGCGGCAGGGACGAGGCCACCGGGACCCCGGACCCCGTCGAGAAGGGGTTCGCCACCCTCAATACCATCCGGTAAGTCGATGAAATATTTCTTTGATTTAAGATCTGGGCTTTACGGCCCTGCTTTCCTCGGTCGCATGAACTAATCAAGGCGATAGGATCGGTGTTAAGGCCATGGTGCAGAAGGTCAGTTTGTTCGTCGTGATCTTTTGCGGTGCGGCCGTGGAAGTCACATGATGTCTTCTCTATACTGGGGTCGATTGCCTAAATAGGAATGATCACTGACTGGTCTGTCTGTAGGATGGAGAACTACGAAAAGCCGAAATTCTTTCAATAAAGCAGCGGAAAGATGGTCCTTCTTTCTAGTATGTTTCATGTCCCTCTTGAAGTGTTGTGATGTTTGTACTGACCACCTCAGCGTCCACTATGTCGACTTCAACAAGCGTCTTGATGGTAAGTCGGGCTTTATTGATTGATCTACCATGCTGCTCATACTCACTTTGCATCTAGAATGGATTGATTCCGGAAGAATAGACCTGTCACATGAGGTCGAATGGCCTCAGCCAGAGAAACCGGAGAAGAAGAAGACCGGCCCCGGCAACAAGGCCCCTAGTAAGAACGCTCAGAAGCGTGCTAGAGCCGAAAGCCGGGATGTATCAGCAACGCCTGATCTTCTGACTGGAAAGAACACCAATGTTGGCAAAGCCCAGCGTCCGTCTAAAGCGGGCGGCAAAGAGAACCGCGACGAGACCCCCGTGAACCTCTCCATCGGAGGTTCAGAAGCTGTCTCCGCAGATGGAACCCCCAAGCCCGACTCGGATGATGTCGACATGATCGATGTCGGCTTCTCTAAGGATGAAAAAGAAGAAGCGAAAGCACTAGGTCTTATGTCGCGCGAAGAAGAAATCGAACGCCTACGCACCAGCGGTAGTATGACCCAGAACCCAACAGAGATTCACCGCGTGCGAAACTTGACCCGTCTCCAAATGGGCAAATACGATATTGAGCCCTGGTACTTCTCGCCATACCCGGCATCGTTCTCCGACGCAGACGTCGTATACATTGACGAGTTCTGCCTGGGATATTTCGACAACAAGCGCGCCTTCGAGCGTCACCGGTCCAAATGCACCCTCGTGCACCCGCCCGGAAACGAAATCTACCGGGACGACTACATTTCATTCTTCGAAGTCGACGGCCGCCGCCAACGAACCTGGTGTCGCAACCTCTGCCTGCTGAGCAAACTCTTCCTCGACCACAAAACACTGTACTACGACGTCGACCCCTTCCTCTTCTACTGCATGTGCAGTCGCGACGAAACAGGCTGCCATCTCGTCGGCTACTTCTCCAAGGAAAAAGACTCCGCGGAAGGCTACAACCTGGCCTGTATCTTAACCCTTCCTCAATACCAACGCCGCGGGTACGGTCGTCTCCTCATCTCCTTCAGTTACGAGCTCGGCAAGCGCGAAGGAAAGCTCGGATCGCCCGAAAAACCCCTCAGTGATCTTGGTCTCCTCAGTTACCGACAATACTGGCGAGAAACCCTCGTGGAACTACTCTTAGAAACCGGCCGGGAATCCGTCAGCGAGCACGACCTCTCGATGCTGACTTCCATGACGGAGAAAGACGTCCACGAGACTTTGGTTGTGTTCAATATGCTCCGTTACCATGTACGTTCCCTCCCCTCACCATCAATTAGGTACTCTGAAAGAATAGTTACTAACCAATCATCACAATATAGAAAGGAAACTGGGTCATAGTCCTAACCGACCAAGTCGTCGAAGAGCACAAGAAGCGCCTGGAGAAGGAGAAAATCAAGGGCGTTCGCAAGATCGATCCTGCCCGGCTGCAATGGAAACCGCCCGTCTTCACTGCATCATCCCGTACCTGGAATTGGTAGGGTTACTCAATGACTGCAGTCTAAAAGCATCAGGAAGCCGGGGGAGGTTGATTGATACCCTAATATATGGAGTCGGTGGTGTACTGTATGCGTCTGTTATGTATGCTTGCTGCTTGCTGTTTTTGGAGGTCTTGTTCCTTTTTCTTTTCAGGGGTGTATGGATGTTTTGTAAATTAGATTACTACTACTTACTAGTGCCTTGCAGGGGGAGTTTTGTGGCTTAGCATGGGATGGATGGTTATATTTAGCGTTAGCAGGGTTGGTGTTGTGGAATTTATTCTCATCAGTCAGTTAGTACTATCTTATATCAATGCCTAAAATTCAGTAGGTGGTATAGTATTCAAGATGGCGTAATGCTGTACAAGTGCCAGAAAACATTGTGAATGACGAACAGCATACCTCTCTAGCTAGTTTCGCAGTTCACGCCATGATCAGGCAAGCCTTCATACCACAGGGCACTACATCTACACCCAAAGGAGGAACACATAACGTTAAAGTATTCGAATGCACACCTCAGAACAAATGCTAGATACACGGTTCTGCACGTTAACACAAAGCTCCCGTACCATTTACCCTTTCCCAGAATCTTGGCTCCGGTTCCACAAGCTATAGAAAAAAGAAAGGAGGGGATCCAAATAGCTCAACGACGACGATGTACTATCGACGGAGCAGGTGAAAGCGACAGGGAGATGGATAAAGGGGGTTGCGTAGGATGAGAGAGTAGGAGGGGAGGAAGGGTTGTGTGAGTGAGCTGCATTGATCATAATACAGCACCGTACATGCGGAAATTGGGAGGTCAAGTTTCGAGAAAGGAGGTAAGGATAACGGGGTACGAGCAGATGGAATGTTGGTGGGGGATTAGGAAAGACGTGACATGGGTTAGGTAACCCCCGCGAAGATAGAGATGGAAGGAAGCATCGAACATGGTAGTAGCGTGTGTGATGAGAGTTTGTATAGAATCTGGTAGCAATCGTCCCACTCAACTCATGGCGTATGTTACTTTGTGAAGAGGGGGAGGCGTTGACAATATGCGCACGCAGGGAATATGGCACGGCAAGCGAAGAAACATTAAAGGAATACTGAAAATTTCAAACCAAACCCAAATCCATCGGATTCCCTCGCAAGCGTAGCTAATCATTACCGAAATGTAACGCTCAATGAATTTCTGAAACCCGGCAAAAGCCAACACAAGGCTAACAGCTGAAACTCGAATCATGAGACTTCACTCCGCATAGAAACGAATGATTGACTTCACTGGGATCCGCTAAAAGTACGGGGTCCCCAGGATGCAGTCCGGGACTGACGTCGCGGAGAGCTGCTGCCATTAGTTTGGGACGTGGCAGGCTTCTTTGCTTGTGAGGAGGCGTTGCCCTCGCGCGGCTTTGTAGTCTTTCGAGGTTTGTTATAGCCTGAAGGGCCGCGTGGGCGAGGGTTATTTGCCCCTGCCTTTCGAGGGAGGGTCAGGGTCTTTGCCAGGGCCGCACCGGGGAAGCGGATCGAAACCTTTGTGTTTCCGGCGGAATCCCTATCGTTATATCCAACGAAGAAAGGCTCAACACTGAGAATTTGCATCGACTTCAAGTGCTTGGACCGCAACCGGGACTGCGAAGGGGCTCGGGCAGCCTGCCATGCCGCTGGAGGCGCTCTGGTTGGGACTCTGACGACTGGTAGAGACCCTACTTCACGGTCCTCAAAAATCTCCTCAGCTTCTTCCACTTGCTTCGCACTTACTTCACCATCCCCGACATGAAGCTCGCCGTTGCAAGGAAGGGAGACTGAGACTGAAGCAATATGCAACTGAACATCGAGAGGTTCTTTGGTCGCTGATGTGACCGCCAGCGCATTTCTCTTTTCGGGTATCGTCTTCTTGCCAAAGAGCGTGTTTATTTTCTCCTGCCAGGATGTAGCTGGACGCGGAGGGGCAGCGACCATCGAGGCAAAGGTGGGAGGCGGTGGCGGCGGAGTTATGACTTTAGGAGGAAGTTTGACAATGGGTTTCGGGGCAGGTAGATGGACCAGAGGCCTGTTCGACGAACCAGTATAAACTGGGTGGCTTGACATCTCTTCAGGAGGAGGCGGCGAAATACTCCGGAAATAATCACCTTCGTCATTCGCCGGCTTCCTCAGGTGCTCCGTTGCTTGAGGGAAGAATCGTGAGCTTCGAACCGGAACGCTGCCGAGAGGACGAGCAGGAGTCTCAGTGAAAGGCAAAGAGCTGACAGTGGGATCAAAACCAGGGAGAGGATTTGGCAGGGGCGCGTTGTTGTCTGCTGATTTAGAGATACCGACAACTTGTCTCTGTCCAGCCTGGTCACCGGTCCGGACCTGCTTCCAGGTTTCGTTGAAGGTAACAGGGAGTGAAGAAGATGGTCCCTCACGCATCGAATCATACTCATTACGAAGCCTCTCGTTCTCCTCTGCCTCACGTTTGGCAGCGACTGCATGGAAATTGTTCCAGGCCACTGTCTGTTGTTGCCGGTGCGAGTGCTGCGAGCTTGGTGGTCCAATAGGCCCGGGACGCAGCATAGGGTTTATGTTGTCATAAGGAACATGCCTAGCTTCCGGGGACGGTAACGGAGAGATAGACACACCATCCTGTGGAGATCGCGAAGGAGCCGAGAAGGGTTGAGTCGCCGGGGCCATGGGTGGCTGGTCAAGACCTAGATGGCTGCGTATGGAGATATCTCTCCCAGGGAATCCCCCTAGGCTTTGCTCAAAGATACCGTTGCCTAGCGTTTTGTCATTGCTAAGAGGCTTCCAAGGATTTGAGATGGCAGGAGGTGCCGGTCCCACAAATTTTGGATTCGGGGACCAAGGCAGATAGGTGTTGGGGGTAGTAAGGTTGCCTCTCCACTGGGAACTTTGTTCGTCGACCTTGGTATCCGGCAAGTTATCTGAGCTCGATGTTTCAGCAACAACAGGTTGCTGAGATCCGTTCGGCAGGCTAGTCTCTTGCTTGGGCTCACGCGCTGGCGAAGACGTGCGTCGCGCAGTAGCAACCGGTGGTGCTTTGTCCGCATTGCCCCTTTCCCTATCCACAAGCTTCTTCACAGTGTCTGGATGGTGGACCTTCATCATTCCATATTGCTTCGGCTCCCCGCTCGGTTCAGGTACTGGAGGTTTAGGAGGAGAATGGGCAGCTTGCGCGGTAGCCTGCGCGATGCTTGCCTCGGGCTTACCGGCATCAATGGACTCCTGACGCCTTGATTTTGGCTTTTCAGGCGGAGGACCAAGCGCCTCGAGCTTCTGCCGGATCCTTTCACGCTTCGCAGCCTCTTCCCGCTCCTCCTGCTCTATTCTCCGCTGTCTAGCTTCCATCCTCTTTTCCTTCATGATGCGTTCTTGCATAGCGACAGGGTCTTCCTGAGGCGGTTGGGGCACTGCTGGCTGTTCTTCCACTGTCGGGGCAGTGGGTGGCTGTGCTGTCCCGCCCGGTACATTGGCCATTCTGTCTTGCACATTTGCAGCACCTCTTGAAGGCCAAGGACCAGGACCACGTCGGGAAGGCGATATCTCGCGTAGGGAAGCTTCCTTGGGAGGTGGCATATCTCTAGGAGGGATGGCCGCTTCAATCATTCCGTTTACCTGTGATCCTCTCCTAGATTCGAACACTTTCTGAGGCACATCGGGTCTACCAATCGACATCCGACGCCCAAAGCTGCCACTTCCCCCGCTCACATTAGACGATGTCCGACGCCGTGTCCAGTGCATACCATCTTGACCGCTCGATCGGTGTGTCTGGAAAGCGGCTGAGGGCTCTGCTGGTCCACTCTGTTCACCTTGGGCAGGCCTCTGCAACAATGCAGGGGTACGGTAACTCTGTTCAGCGCGCCAAGGCCCCTTCCTCGTGTCAGGAGCAGGCTCATAGCGGCCAGATCGAGAATTGTAGAGCTCCCGGGTCCCAGACTGCATCTCCTTCCAAGATCGGTTGAAATCGTCTGCAGCAATTTCCTTTGGAGGAAAAGGACCACCGGAACCGTCAGTCGGGTGAGGTTCCCGAGCAGGAGCCCGCATCGGCGGTTGAACCTGGATTGGAGGAATAACAGGTGAGATCTTTTCAACCGGTGGCAGAGGTGCCCAAGGCGACTTGACGGGCGGAGGGGCCGGACTTGTGGATAGTAGAGGAGATTTGTCATTCAGTCCCTTTGCAGCAAGACCGGCATTCTTTGCTTGTCTTTCTGCGTTTGCTCCGAGCCGAAGCACCGTGGGATTTGGCCCAATAGACGTCGTAGGTTTCGGTATGAATTTTGGCGCTTCCTTGATGCTTGCTGCTGCTTGCTCAACTGGAGGGAACTCCCTTTTGAAATCATCTGCCACTGTGTCTTGGCTTGGCACTGGAGCGGATGGCGCAGGCTCTTGGTTGGTGAGGTTAGTCTTCGTGCCATCGGTCCACTCAATCGTCTCAGGAGCCCAATCATCCTCGTCATCATCTATGTCTGCCCATTTCGCTTCGCTTCCCCCGCCGTCTTCCTGTATCCTTGAAGTCATATGGATGCCGTACTGTTGTTTCAACTCTTCGTCGGTCAAGTGCTTGGGAGGCGTTTGCTGGACGGCTGCAAGGACAAGATGGTCAGAAGCACATCTCAGTTAACTGGAAGGTTTGTAGTCTTACGCCGATTCCTATTCCAAACTTGGTTCGGATCCGGTCCAGCTCCACCAGGTTTGGCTGCACCTGTTCCCATTTTCGATAACGAGTCGCGTAGGCTGCTGGTAGTCTTGACGACCAGGCGAGGACGTGAGGTTGGCGGCGGCGTCCCCAGAGGGGTAGTGGAAGTCATAGGGGCTGTAGTGAATCAGACTTAATTCCTCTGTATTAACGTGAATGTAAAATACCTTTCTCAGAAGCCTTTGTTATCGGGGGAGTTCCCGGCGCCTTGGGAACAGAAAACTTGGCAAAGGTAACCGGCTTGAAGGAAGTTGGCTTCTTCGAGCCGGCACGGAGCCTGCCCTCTGTTCGACTGGCATCGGACTCTGAACCTCCCTGAGACGCTGTGTCCTCCCCAGCATCTGACCCAGACGTTACTCCATTCATCTCGAGCGCCCGTGCGGCGACCGGCAAAGGACCAGACTTTGGGGTATCCTGCGTCGGGTTCAGTAGGTATGTTGCGAGGTCGTTGTCGGCATCACTCACGCTCGGCGTCTGATCGGTATCTTTTGCTTTGTTTTCTCGCTCTGACTTTTCGGTAGTTCCCGTTCCTTGTTCACCCTGTTTGTCACTCGCGTTCGTATCCGGTTGTGTTGTTGTAGCGGTGTCTTTAAACTCCCCCGCGTCCCCTCCAGCAGATCTCTTGTCGGTGGTGCTCGCAGGAACGTCGGAAGGCGAAGGATCGCCGCCCGACAGGGTTTGGTCTACCACATCGTGGCTGCTCTGCTCTGCCATAACAATTCTTGAGTCTGTGAGGCCAACAGGTTGCGACATCTGTTAGACAAATGTTCTGAAACTGTAAACACGGAAACAAGTGGCGACTGTAATCCTGAACTTATGAATGCATGAGAAGGGACGGGCTGAGAATATACCTATGGTCAGGTATCAAGAATCGCCACGGTTGAACTGTAAGCTCAACTACTTGAGCCGTAAAAGCTCCGAACGACCAGGTGGACGGCGGAGAGGGGACCAGTGTTAGGAGGCTGGTAACCAAGTGAATGTCGAGGCAGTAGGGCGGGGCGTGAGAAGGCTGGCAGTATTATGGTAGAAGGCCGCTGCCCAGAGAGAGAGTCCCGAAAGGGAGGTTCGTGTCGAAGGAGGTGGTGCTTCTCGGGATGGTGATCGGGTGATGGCTGCAGTCATGGACGATGACTTGACGGTTCAGGTTGAGGCACTAAGGCGGGCTGCTTTCGGTTAGCGCGCTGGCCTCCCGCAAACCCTGTGGCTGGAGCCGCGCTGGAGTTACTTACTCTCTTCGCGAACCGAACTGCTGCTGTGCTTTGCTCCTGGGCCGATTCAACCTTGCCCACACCCCCTGGAGAGGGGGGAAGAAAAAAAGGACCGATTTATTTTTAGGGGTCCCCGTTAACTCCTTTCCTATTTACCGGTGCTATATTATGACCCTGTTCATATTCACTCTTTCTGAAAAATACTCTCTACTGTTTCGGAGACCCTCCCTTGACAGGTGTATCGACCTGCCGAAACGGCACCGGACCGCATTCCCGGGGTACTAGCCTCCTGCCTCAGCAAGGAAATTGTTACTGTTTTCAAACAGCCCCAAGAAGGAAGCTGGCAAGAAGTTCCAGGATTTCCGAACTGTCAAGTCTTCCTGGAATAACTTCACCACCGGATCTGGTGACTATGGTAGCATCGACATGGTTAAAGGGGCACTAACAATGCAGGCACCATAGGCTACTGCGGACTACCCAAATTGCGGCCTATCCTACTAATCATCTATAGGAACCATACGGAATACATTGGTCGATCCGAACCTGACTAGAGTCGTGTCCTTTGAACTAAATAGCCAACATCTACAAACAGGTCTTCCTATTGGAAGTGCTACATCCTTTCCACATACACTTGTCCGTGTCTTAGCCGAATCACTAAAGCGGGCGGCTCTGACTCCCAACAAATCTGTTGTCCATGTGCGCTATGACTCCGAGAAAGGTCACCAGCCTTTGGCTCATTTCCTGACCCATTTGCACGGAAACATGCTTGCACATGCGCCATTTGGGTTGATAGTAAGTTTGGAGTCATGTTGTCCGATGAAATAACTTATGGTGCTAGCTGATGGTCTCTGCTTAATCCGTCAGTGCTGCCTGATGGAAATTGGACTAGCACATGTCGCAACCTGGAATCTGAGAACAAAGCATAGCGTCTTTAAATACCAAATACAATTTGCCACTGTGTATGCTGTGACTAACAACTTCCGGGGAATTTCTGGGCACATCGTTCATGGAAGCATACAATCACGAATCATTGTAGCTGTTCGCCTGATGAAAGTGACACTCGATCTGAGCCTGCTGAGTTTGAATTGGTTTCTAGCACTTCATCGTTAGCGATGTCTGATCTAGTAGTGTAATGGTAGCCTTTCCAAGGGAACCGTTCTGTATGGAATATAAGACCCGTTAAAGGAATAGGAAAACTACTAGTAAGGGAAGGAATCATAGACCCGAACGAGTTACTTCGAGTTACTCAACGTATATATTTCACTCGCCATCCTAGTAGCAGCCGACGATGTATCACTAGTATGGTAGATTTTAGGCGCAGCGTAGGATCAAGTATAGACATGGAATCTGGCCTGCACGTCACTGATAACCCGATAAGGGTAAAATCACAGGGGATGGAGAACTAATCTACAGATAGCAAGTGAAGAGCGATGGGGGACAGCCTTCATCGGGCGGAGGCTGATAATAGCACTTGAATACTATATCCACTGCGGGGAATCGAACAAAGATGGGTACTATCTAGAGATACGACTAATATCGTGGATCAGCCCTACGTCGAAATGTTCGATATGGCTCGCGAATAGGCAGGCTACATCTAACGTCCCAGGTTTGAACTCGAAAGGGGCCAAAACTACTCCATACGTCACTCGCCGTCCCAGGCATACAGTTGCGTAGCGTGAATACCATGTTGTAGGGTTTGAAGGATCGGATGACGGTTTTCAAAGGTTGGGAGAAGGTGCTGGGTTTATCAAGTCTAGTTTTGTGTCGTAGAAGCCATATTCGCAGATTTTCGGTATTTGGCAAAACGCATGGATATCATTTTTCGAACAGGGAAATGGAAATTTTGTTTTTTCTTTCATTCCGGGGAATCTATGCACAGGATTTAGATGTGATAGAACATCTGGGAACCCTCTGTTTCGCTTCGTCTCATTGCAAAGGCCCACCCTAAGTTTGAAAAACCCAGAAACACCAAACAACCGCATCGACCGTTTTTGATTCGTTTAGATGTGGGTGTCGTAGGGGATGGGGGTGATGGTCTCGGCAGCGGTACCCTCGACGAGGTGAGCCTCACGGGGCATAAGGGGCTGACGCTTCAGGTGGAGGTGGACACCCTGCTCCTTAGCCTGGCGCTTCTTCTGGGCGTTCTCCTTGACACGCTTGATGAAGTCCTCACGGGAGCGGGAGTGCTTGACGTGCTCGATGCGGACGTTGATGCGCTTCTCGAGGTAGCGGTTGCGGACGACCTTGTAGAGAAGGACACCGACGGAGGACTTGGTCACGTTGTAGACGACACCGGTCTTACCGTTGTAGACCTTGTAGGGCATACTATTTCCAAATGTCTCAGCAAACCAATTATTCGTTCAAAGTTTTCGAGCATCCCAACACGCAAAACCCTTCATGTCGGAATCCCCATAAAATTCAACCGGGCGGAATTTGTACTGACCCCTTCTGAACGGCACCGTTGACCTTGATATCGACAATGTCGCCAACCCTAAGAAAAATATCAGATCCTGCTCCTTCACGCAAATATTATCCAAATCGGCGAGAATTTTCGGCGTACCGGTAGGTCTTCAGGTAGGTCGACAGGCGAATCTGGCCGTTCTCCTTGAAGTTACGGCTGAAGGCATACTGAAAAGTTCGTCAGCGGTCGCGTTTCGGGCCAGCGAAAAGGTGCTGCAAAAATCCTGGGTAATATCGACATACCCGAGTACCGGCTCTCAAACCGTGCGAGTGACCCATGTCGGCGGTGTTGGTGGTGCTGGTGTTGAGAACTTGTCGACGTCGAAGAAATGCCTCGCTATGCCGCCCTTCGCGATGGTGTAGACTTCTCGGGTGCTTAGTGCGGCCGTTCTCCGCCGCCGAGGGCTAGCCCTTGCGCTAGTCCGCTTCCGGCTCCACCTTCGCTCGCTTAGTTCCCTTCTCCAAAACGCATCTTCAACTTCAGATCTTCCGCGATTTTCGTGAAGTTTGGTGTGTACGACAACCTCGCGACAAGCCGAAATCAGCAGTCATGGCCCCCGTCCCGTGAGTATACGACCAGCGATCAGCTACACCTGTATCGCATCATTCTAATGGCAATTTTCTCAACAGCCGCGTTTACTCCAAGACCTACAAGGTCCCCCGTCGTCGTAAGTAGCCTTATCAGTCTTTGCAAAATTCGATAAGTTTGCGACATGGAATGATATACTAACATGTTGATATAGCTTTCGAGTCGGCCCGTCTGTTAGTACTCTCCGGCCACTGATCAGAAGCGTGCTTCTGTTTAAGTCGTGTGTTCCCATGCCTAACTGTCATCGCTAGTGACTCGGAACTGAAGATTGTCGGCGAGTACGGCCTGCGCAACAAGCGTGAGGTGTGGCGTGTCCAGCTCACCCTGTCCAAGATTCGTCGTGCTGCTCGGTATGCGCCCCCCACTTCGCATGGATCATCGACTTGGAGAATGGCCAAGAGAAAGTGATGGAACAATGGCTGACTGTTGGAACAGTGAGCTTCTCACCCTCGACGAGAAGGACCCCAAGCGTCTTTTCGAAGGTAACGCTTTGATTCGCCGTCTGGTCCGCATCGGTGTCCTCGATGAGTCTCGTATGAAGCTCGATTACGTCCTGGCCCTCCGCGTTGAGGACTTCTTGGAGCGTCGTCTTCAGACTTGCGTCTACAAGCTCGGTCTTGCCAAGTCCATCCACCACGCCCGTGTCCTGATCAAGCAGCGTCACATCCGGTATGCGCAACCGTCAACTCCTTCGCCCAATGACGCCAAGTTACTAACCTTGAAAATAGTGTCGGCAAGCAGATCGTCAACGTCCCCTCCTACATGGTCCGCCTGGACTCCCAGAAGCACATCGACTTCGCCCTTACCTCCCCCTACGGTGGTGGCCGCCCTGGCCGTGTCCAGCGCAAGAAGGCTGCCGCTGCTGCCGGTGGTGGTGACGACGAGGCTGAGGAGGACGAGGAGTAAAGGATTAAAAATTGGAGTACGGACGGGTTTCGTTAGCCAAAATAAAATCACGGGGCTCCGTTATGGCTGCAGCATAGCGTATAACGTTGTACGATCATGCGATTCCATTAATGAACTAGTAGCCTACGGCTCGATTCCCATACCATTTGGTTCCCTAGTCGTAGTAATCCCTGAGCACTGAACACCTAAGTAATCATGCATGGCTTATCCACCGCAAACGCCGTGTCCCTAGGGCCAATATCGTCAAATCATGCCTACGCCTATTGCCCTCATCCTGTAACACCTAGAAGGTTTTTGAGTGTTTCTTCCGCGCTCCGGTACCATCTTCCCGTCTCCACCAGCCCGTCACTTTCGCCTTCCTCCTTCTTTCTCCTAACCTCTTGGGCCTGTGCGATCGCTTCTGTCTTCCGCCGTTCTAGAACACCCAATTCACGCTCCACCGCCTCGGCCTCTCGTGTCTTGCGGGGCAGGGTATTCTGCACCGCAGCAAGTTGTCGATCAAGAGCCGCAAGCTCCGCCTCCCGCTCAGACAGGAGACTCAGCGTTGCAGGAAGGGGGAGGTTTTGCGATTCTGGGCCGTTTGCGTCTGATCCTTGTTTTGCACGTAGCTCGGCAACAGTGGATTCGAGGTTTTCAATTGACTCAGGAAGTGTTGAGAGTTGGGTCATTTGTAGCTGGACATTCTTGTAACCTGTACAAAGATTTTCCATCGTTAGGACAGTCCTTCATATGGTCACGAAGCGAAGCTCCACGGACCTAAGTCATTACTGTACAGAAGACAAGGGAGTACTCACGATTCGCCAGATCTCTACCCAGCTTCTCCATCTCCTCCACCATAGTTCGGACTTCTTCTTTGCGGGCCTTGAGGTCCGCCTTTACTTCGGCCAACTGCGCTTCCATCTCAACATTTTCATTGTGACCGACCACCAGGGGCGGATCGCCCACAATCGCACGCAGAAATTTCTCCTTCGTAACTTGCTCAACGTAGGAAAAGCGTAACTTCGAGAACAATTCCTTTCCAAGTATTGTCAGCACGAATAGGTGGTCTTATAGAGCGACCCCGCTTCGGGAGAATTTGTTCATACTTTATAGTGTGTCAAGTCCGCTTCCAGGGAAGCAGGTGTTGGTGTTTCAAAGGTAGATACATCTGACCTACGCTTAGATGGTGATGAGCGCCTGGTATCAGAGTCAGGGGAGAATATCGGCTCGCTGATGCGGAGGATGTTCAATTGTGATTTCAAGTCGCCATTGTCGTCTGCTAGTTGCTGCAGTTGCTTTCGTGCCTCTGCGGGCGTTAAACTGGCCATCATATCCTTGATAAATCTGTAAAATCCCTCAATAACCTATTATAGTCAATTGCAATGGCAGTGTAAGGGTGGATCTATCGCGTCTTCGAATCAATGGGATGAGGGGTGAAGGCAAAAACCATTCATTATCGCGCGTCGGCAGAAACATTGCGGAGGTAAACAGATTCATCGGACCCACCACTTTATCAGCCGGGCGGTGAAGTCACCGGTCAGCAGCGTCAATATCGCCGTATGTATGGCTCTCGCCTCCCACATTTGTAGACTTGGCCGCGCTTTCCTTTCTCTTTATATATTCAATTTCGGATTGGATGATACAATTACCGGATGGGCGTTGTATATTAATATGATATAAATACTTTTACTTCCCTACTTCTACCCTCCCACCTTTGCTCCAGTCCCACGGTCCGACAGCATGCCTCCCAACACCGGAAAAGCAATCGGCGACCCCAGCGACGATGCCTACGTTGCACAGGTGCTCGCACGAGAGGCACGGGATAGCTCCCTGAAATACTCGGCACATGGATTGGAAGCATACATGCCCAAAAGGTATATACTTTCTCTAGCGAATACTTTACGACGATCATTGAGCTGACAATTTATTGCTGCAGGCCTACAGGCGCCGCTCCTAAACCGAACACACGATTCCTCCGACACATAATCCGAGAGACGGACAATCACAATACAGCATTGAAACGGAAAGAAGAACGGGAGGCCAGGGAGCGAATGCGACAGTTGCGGAACCAGGCGTCATCCTCTTCAGCGAACGATGCAAATCGCGATCAACGTCGCAGTCGGCGTACGTCAACCGATCGAGAGTCGCGGCGCGATAGAAGACGGGATCGTGAGGACAAATATGGCTCTAGTCGAAGGAAACATAGGAGTCGTTCGGCATCGGAGGAGAGAGGCCAATCGCATAGGAGCCGACGGAGGCGTGACCCTCAAGACACCGATGACGACCGGCATAGATCCTCGAGAAGGAGTCGTCGCCACCGATCTGATTCTCGTTCAAGGAGTCGATCCCCGGAACACGGCCGGGATGTTGATTCTCGCAGCCATCGCCGACGACATCGCAACCGCTATGAGTCGTCACGATCACGTTCGCGGTCCCCAGGAGCATCTGACAGGCGCAGGACTAGAGATAGCGAGCGCAGGGGTCACCGCAGTTCTCGAGATAAGGAACTGTCTAGAAGAAATAGTGAATCGACAAGCAAAGAACAAACGTTTACTCATGCACATTTCAAGGAGGAAACGCCTTTGGATGATGAGTCGGATCCTCTTGAAGACCTTGTCGGACCCCTGCCGGCGAAAGATAACGATCATGGGTATTCAGCGCCCATTCGTTCCCGCGGTCGCGGTGCCTACAAACCCAACGTGAGCAACATCGATGCACACTTTGCCCCTGACTACGATCCCAGTACGGATGTACATTTGGAGGATGATGATGGGCAGGCAGGTAGCAGGCCTACCCGCCGTCCTGTCGCAGGTCTAATGACTGGAGATGACGACTGGGAACTCTCTCTGGAGGCGTTGCGTGATCGGGCAAAATGGAAGCAGAGGGGAGAGGAGAGGTTGCGGGAAGCTGGCTTTAGTAACGAATTTGTGGACCGTTGGAAGAGCAACACTACTTCCACGCCAGGGGATGACTCAGAAGGCAGGCTAGAGGATGTGAAGTGGTCTAAGAAGGGTGAGGGGCGAGAGTGGGATCGGGGCAAGTTTGTTGATCAGGATGGGCATATTGACGTTAAAGCTTCCTGGTGATATCAGTTGATCTTGGGGTCTCTATACATCTATCATATTGTGAATCACAGCTCCCTGGCGTTATATAGATTACTTTTTTGCAATGATATGCACTGATACGGGCCAGTAGCTTGTATCTGTCCTTTAATTAATGATAAAGACTAGTTCTAAGCACTATCAGAGTAGCACTAGTAGTTATCAATATAGGTTTAATATCAACTGTGGGGTCTGGTCTAAGTAAGTCCAGACCTTTATCAAAACGCTAAGAAAATATATTTGAATCCCGAAGGATTTTCAAGCTGCATAACAACCGCTCTAAGTGAGAGCAACCATACATCTTACAATAATCTTTCCCGACTTCAAAGCCTAACATTCCTCAAATAGAAATACAAATAAGTGCTTCTTGTTCCCCGTCACTCTATAGTATACTGCTTTCCAGAAAACTTTATTTTCCTCAGGCACAAAACAACGGGTCTACACGCCAAGACCAGCCCCTCACCCAGTTCCGCACTTTTGTCATAAGTGCGGAATATCGCAATACTGTTGCATAATCACCTGAAAATGGCCTCATCGCTGGTAACAATGAGTGGATAAGACCCGACGCTCTTTGTGGCATAATCCAAAACTTGATTGGTAAGATATTAGACAGACGTATTGGGGGTCTTTCTGGGCATAAGTAGTTGATTGGTATATGTTGTTGCCGCTATCCGATGGCGGAACTTGGTAGTACTGTCGGATATGGACTCGGATAGCAGCTGATTTTCTTACCATCACTCTGCTTGAGAATACTACTGCATTTACTATCAGACAGCCTCTAGAATATAGGGGATTATCAACCGTACGCTACGGGCTCGGTTAAAGGCAGGTTGAATAGGGAGTTGATCTAATTACTGTCTCTAATCAACCTCCCACACGTGGAGCAGGCACATCTCAGTTGTGTACCTCCGACGACGCCTGAGCTCAAATGACGGACCAGTTTGCATATTCGTATCCCTCGCCGTTAGAGGGATATGAGAACCTAGAACCGCTATCTGAGTAAGTGGGATGATATACTGGGCCAAATGGTCGAACTTAAGGTTTGTTTCTAGCATTAGCCTAACCTGTGGGATCGTACAGAGAGAGAAACGAGGATGGAAAGTCCCTAAAAAACCCCCAACATGGGATTCTGAGTAAGGCATACGAGGAGTTCCCGGACCCTCTTACCAAAGGTCGTCGTGGGGGCTTCGATATCCATATCTATCACTTCCAGGTTGGTGGATACTTGTGTACTGGGCGTCATAGTTTCCTGGCTGACTTTGCATCACCAAAGGACAATCCAGATCAGGTCGCTTTTGCGAGAGCTCTGTGGGAGAGGATCAGGCGTGAATGTGAGTTATATCCCATTTCCAAAATAGCGGTATAATTATCGTGTAGTATCAATACTGACTTGAGTAGTTCCCGAGTTACGAATTTATCAGTTCTTCGACAGACCGATAGGGCCTCATCCAGTGGCCATGTTCGAAGTTAACCTTTTCACTCCTGCACAATTTGGTGCCTTTGTGCCCTGGCTTGTTGTCAATCGGGGACCCTTGAGTGCACTGATCCATCCGAATACGGTGGAAACCGAAGAAGAGCGTAATCACACCCAACGTGCTACTTGGCTGGGTGAAAGAATACCTCTTGATCTGCGGTTATTTAAGTTGATGAAAGAGGCGCAGAAGAGAAAGGAGCTTGAGGCGGAGAAGAAGGCGGCAGCAGGGGAGAAGTTATGATTTTGGTTCTCTGTTGATCCGTGCTCACTTCGGGATGGTGTTGGCTTCTATGTAGTCAGTCTTATTGCTTTGGAACTCTCCGACAATTTGAACCCGGAATGGGCGCTAAGAAGGCTTGTCTGTTTATGATATCCAATAACATGTTAGCATATGAGCATTCTCTGGACCTGAGCGAGCGAGGGGTATTCATAAGGCTAACAAAACATTTGCATGAACTATGCGCCGTTCCATGCATGATGAGGCACCCGAATAAACCCCCTCGGTGAGGTGGCATAAGTCTGTATGGTTTGAGAAGCAAGGAACTTGGCATGGGATAAAAAGCGCATACTTGACTGGTTACAGACAGCATCACGGGACCTGGCCGGAGCAGAGTGTGACCGGACGATCACATTCATCTATGATCCCAAACAAGGGCCCATCAGATGCACCACTCCAGATCATGCTTATCGCAAAACTACTCATTCGCAACCAATATGGCTGCAGAATGCTTCGGACCCTGGGACTACCCCTGCAATGAAGATCGCAGGTGGGCGAGGAGACGGCCACATCTGTTTCTGCAGCCAGTATTCCACACGGGGCTGAGGAAAAAGCAATGATTTGCCTTCTTCTGGCCCATCACCTGCCACAAACCCCGGACTAGCCTTACCAGTGAGGGTGGAACAGAATGCCCAGCAATGACCCTCGACATGGAAGTGTCAGAAGGTCAGATAGACATTGGCTTGCAGTTTGTACCACACCGTGTGGTAGGTCTCATACTCTCTACACCTGATATGCACCTCTGCAATATAACCTCGCTAATACGCTGCTGGCTACAGTTCGGGGACAACCCTGCTGCGCATAATCTGCACTTGCGCCTTCAATAGTGGAAACAGCTCTCTCTACAGTTGGTTACACTTCTTGACAGAGAAATCAATGACAGTCAACCTGTCAACATGTGGACCTTTCTAGTGCAGTTCTTCTCCACTGTGCTGCAGTTTCGCCTATCAATGACCAAGCCCAACGAGACAATCGTGGCCTATAATCTGACATCAACCGCTTTACCATGCTATGTAATGGACTATGGTAAGCACGTTCTAGGATATCTACTAACGCCACTGTTCTAATTCATATCTAGCACCGCTCGTCTGGCTATATAGCAAGGAAACATACATGCCTTCGGATATCGGACAACAGCTTGTGCACACGACACCAATGGTGAATTATACTGCAATTAAAGGAGCACCATCACCGCTAACACTCAATAACCTCGCGGGACTCAACAAGTTGGGAAACACCAGCGTCTACCTAACCTCAATAGAGGGCATCGATGCTACTCCAGAGCCAGCATGGTTTCGTGGAATGAGGCCAGATAAAAACGGAAAGACGAATGGAGCTGTCTCCTCGACAATAATCACTCGTGATCATGGAAATGGGACAGTAGATGCGTTTTACTTCTACTTCTATGCGTAAGTGATCCCTAGTACTGAGAGCGAGCTACAACCCATGCTGAAAATATGAAAGGTACAATATGGGAAACACAGTATTGGGAATGCAGTTTGGAGACCACGTCGGTGACTGGTGCGCAATACCTCTAAATCTCTCTACATCTATTCCCAACTGATAACCATAGGGAGCACAACATGATTCGCTTTGATAACGGACTCCCACAAGCAATCTGGTACAGCCAGCATGCCGGAGGTGAAGCCTTCACCTACGACGCAACCGAGAAGCAGGGCAAAAGACCGATCGCATACTCCGCAAATGGCTCCCATGCCGTATATGCAGTACCTGGGTACGTATGAACCGCCTCTAGAGCATTATAATATCGACTTTCACCAGAAATCAACTACAACTACATATGATAACCTAATGAAATACATAGCACCCACGACCACGCCATCCCACACCTCAACCTCCCCTTCGGCTTCGTCATGGACTACACAGACAGAGGAACCCTATGGGATCCCATCGCAAACGCATACGCATATAGCTTCGACGCAGCCAGCCAGTCGTTCCAGCCCTATGACCGCAGATATCCAGTCAACTGGCTAGAGTTCAATGGACAGTGGGGAGACGACGCATTGCCGGGGGGACCGGAGCTCTTTGGACAAGCCAAATACAGTGCGGGCCCGAACGGGCCTAAATTCAAACACCTTGTCAGGTCGACTGTTTGTCCGGATAGTCCTTGCGTCGTGCTGCCATTTCGTATTTGGGATGATGAGGATGGTGTGATGATGTAGAGAGGGTGGTAGTTATATTTTTTTATGTTTCCCTTTATTTTTCTTGTTTATACATACCATTATGTTGATTGGATACAGTGCAGGGTAGAATGGCATAAACCGTTGAGAACGGGGAGGGGGACGATCAGAGGACAGCGAGAGGGGAGTGGATATATGTGGAGATCGGAATACAGGACGGAGTACTTTGTAAGACAGGGTATGCATTACTGTGTGGGATTGTGGATTAGATTGTTATGTGTGTGTGTGTGCGAGTGTGTGTGTGTTTCCAAGTCAGCCTCCTGGGAGATTGATCATCTGATGTTATGATTACGGCTGCTTTCTGCTGCATCCAGTCCAGATTCACATTCCCACTGCAGGGCAAGAGGGAGAATTACTGACTAGATAGAACGCAAATTTGGGACTCAAGTCAGCTAGTCTGTATTACCGAAGCTTATGGTAGAATGGCCTAGGTATGTTCTTCCATCAGGTATTCACTGTAGGCCATGCTTACTTCCTCGTTCTTGGGTTTGGCTGTTCCTGATAGGGAGTGGTCCGACAGCAACCCTTAATAACTCAGGGGCTGACCGGCACGAGCAGGCGGATGAGCACGGGAACATTGGCAAATTTGGGAGGGAGTAAGCTGATTGCTGGGCTGCCACTGATCGTTTAATAACAGGTATTATTATTACCCGACCACGTAAGGTTTTGTGACTATACTGGATTGGGGTGTTGCCTCCCCGCACTAAGAAAAGGGGCGGTTTTGTGTGTGTCTGTCTTGTCTGTTTTGCTGTCAAGAGGTATCGGGAAGGACCGAAATGCCGAACTGTTCCTGTCGCCCCTGTTTTAGAAGGATACTTACTAAATCTCTATGTGAGTGATCATCTATTGTATTTTAAAGCAGTCGGACAAAGTCTGATCGGCATGCTGGGACAGGAGATATGATCGCAGAGTGACGACAGTAGGAATGGATGCATGCCATATGCAACCAGAATCTGGTGGTGGACTCAAGGGATGGGATGACAGTCGATAGCACGGAGTACCCACGTGTGGATGGAGTTTTGATCACCGCCTGATCCAGCATGAGAATGTATCCAATCCGTGTCTATCGGCTAGACACTACTGAATTGGTTCCGGTCTAACTTCTAGACCACCGAGTAGTTATCTAACTACCCCAATTCTGGCTGACTCCGTTAAGGTCCAAGGAAGTAGTTAACTAGTTACTGCACGAGCGTTGAGATATGGGTGTTGGGGAAGATCATTCATTATTCAGGCAGTTGTGGCTCCCTCCTCCATCTGGACGTTCTCCGTCGGTACAGTGGATTTTGATCGGCCTTTTCCTTTCCAGACTGCCATTGGTATTCTCCGTAAGGTGTTAGCATTCCAACCGAAACAAAGCAGACAAGAGATATGATGCAGATATCATTCCAAATAAGCTGACCTCGCCCCCCCTATGACCCCCCCAATTATACCAACGCACACGGTGTCGTACTGCATTGGAGAGACGTGGACTGAAGTCGCTAAACGGGCTGCCCCTCCAGTGTGCGAGCCAAACTTTCCAGCTTAGCCGTCCGGCCCTAGACCAAGTCGGGAGTTAGAAGCAACCTAAGTAGCAACCTAATACATTCGGAGAGCGTGCTGAGTGGGGGAGAATAGGAAAGGTCGAGCTCCCCTGCTGGCTGCCGTTTTGCCCCTGAATTTCATCCAGCTCCAAAAAAGCTTCCCGAGCTGCTTCTCCGCCTGAACGAGACGACGAGGTGCAGCGACAAAAGAAATTATAGAAGAAAAGAAAAAAAGAATAAGAAAAAACAACATTCGCCTCAAAAAAAGAAAAACATAAAAGATAAAAAAAGACAACAACAACAACATCAACAAAAGGGTATCGGAGAACTCAGCAAGGTCTGAGACTCCCAACGAACAGTGACAGGAAAGTGAGAGGTCAAGTCAATTGGGTCTTTTTGTTTGCGCAACGAGTCGGTTCGGTGACAGGAAAGCATTGCCTGTTCTCCGTTCTCACTGGTCGATCATCATCTGCCCTCCAGCGCCGTCATCCTTTTTGTGCCGTTTCTTTCTGTTCCCACCCTCTTCATCCTTCTCTTCTTCTGATATTATTTGATCTTATCGCAATTGTATGCGCCGCCTTAGTCGGACGCTGTGAGCAGGCTTCTCCTCAACTCTCCCTGGTAGGATCGTGAGTCAACAAGGACAGACAGACTTAAACCCCCGTTTGTTCTTTCCATTAAAGCCCCGCTACTTCTCTACAGGCGACGTGGGTTAAGATCGACAATCGCTTGCTGGGCTTGTGCATGTCGATTCTGTGATTACTGAAAAGCTGTGTCGTTTTTAATTGCATCTTTGGTCACCGACACTCTTAACTTTGGTCGAATATTTATTCTCTGGCTTGATCGAGGATCGATTCACTCGTCGAGGCAGTTGTGCTACACTGGACAAAAAGGAGGAGGAACACGCGACTGGTTCCAGAATAAGCGTGTAAGTTTGGTACGTTGATCATACAACCCGAAATAATATTATGATCTTTCAACAATCCCGCAAGACCGCACAATCATTAGCTCAGTCTTGATGGAGTCAAGTTCCGATTGTTGTTCATGAGTTGGGACTGACTTCGTTTGTCTTTCGGGCTAGGGTGATTTAAATCAATTGAACCTGTTCTGGGCCTTCCTATTCAAGATCGAACCCAAGAAGAATCCGGGTACACTAAACTAACTGATCCTCTGGGACGAAAAAGAAGAGTTGCGTCTATATCTGAGACACGATTCATTCCCTGCGTCCCCACTTTTCTTTGGCAAATCCCCCCAATTTGTGTTACAGCCAGTGAGTGATAAGGGTAGGGAAGAGCCCGCCCATAATAAAAACCAATGGCAACCGCTTCACCAGCACCCCGGACCCCGGGTCGGACTCAGCCTTCCGCAGAAGTCCCTCCTGTCGTCACGGACACCAAAGACCAACGCCGAACATCTTCTTTGGGTTTTCTTCGTCGCTCCAAGTCTATTGAAATTCTAGGCGAAAGACGCTCGTCCGGAAGCAAGAACGGAAAGAAGATGCCGAAGGCTCAGACGGCGGAAGAAGAAGCTCGCCGCCAGCGCGAGTCAATGATGTATCAACAACCCCCGCGTCTACCTGATCTCTCGCCGGCCCCAGTTCTTGAGACCTTTGGCGGCGATGAGCGCCGGGACACTGTTACTGCACTTGCAAGCCAGCCCGACTCAGCTCAGCAGCAAGCTGTGCCCCGCAGTACGATAAGCACGCCAGTTGCCCCAGAGCCGAGCGACGCCTATGCACGAGCAGAGAGCATGACACACCGTGGACGCTATAGCTACGCAAGCAGTGCCGTTAGTACCGTCAACAATCCGCGTCGGCTGCGTCGGCGCAAGGATCCCACCCCGTACAAGTAAGTCGCATTGTTTACAGTCATTCGCTCGATGGGGTCAAATGCTCACGTGCTTCTAGTGTCCTTGTTGTCGGCGCAAGCAACTCGGGCAAGACCTCGTTTCTCAATTTCCTCAAGAAATCCTTGGAATTGCCGCCGCATAAGCACCCCTCCCGTTTGCCAGAGGAAATCGCATACCAGGCTCGCCAATCCCCCGCCAATGAGGGCTACGTTTCCCACTATCTGGAGACAGAGATCGACGGCGAACGAGTCGGTCTGACCCTCTGGGACTCTCAAGGTCTGGAGAAGAACATTGTTGACATCCAGCTACGAGGGGTGACTGGGTTCCTGGAAAGTAAGTTCGAGGAAACGCTAAGTGAGGAAATGAAGGTTGTTCGGTCACCTGGAGCTCGCGACACCCATATCCATTGCACCTTTTTGATCCTGGATCCAGTCCGCTTGGATCAGAATATAGCGGCTGCAGAGCGGGCTGCGCAGGGAACCCCAAGGGCAACTGATACACCTGTCATTGGTGTTCTCGACGAGCGTCTTGATGTTCAGGTCCTGCGAACCATAGTGGGCAAGACCACCGTTGTTCCGGTTATCAGCAAGGCCGATACAATCACCACTGCCCACATGGCTTACCTCAGGAAGGCTGTCTGGGATAGCTTGAAGAAAGCCAATATTGACCCGCTGGAGATCCTTTCTTTGGACGACCAGGAAGAGTACACATCTTCTGAGAGCGATGATGAGGACGAGGAGGCGCAAGGTCAAGATACCGAACAGGATGCGGAGGCCAGCGCTGCGAACGAGGAAGGTGCAGAGGCCCGGTCTCCACGTTCGCCCTCCCAGCGCAGCCAGGACACGCGCAAGTCTTCCGGTTCCCAAGCCGTCGTTCAGCATATTCCTTTCACCATCTTGTCTCCTGATCCACATTCGCTAAGGGCTGGCGACGAGCCTGTTGGGCGCAAGTTTGCCTGGGGGTTCGCTGACCCGTACAACGCCGAGCACTGTGATTTCCTCAAGCTGAAAGAGGCCGTATTCAACGAATGGCGCTCTGACCTTCGCGAAGCGAGCCGTGTGGTCTGGTATGAGAGGTGGAGAACCAGCCGCTTGAACCGTAATGTTGCTGTGGCCAGCGCTGCACCCCAGAAGAAGCTGTATGCGGGGAGAACTGGTCCGGATGTGCGCCGGTTCCGCTAATGACTTGCAGCCGGTCATCATTCAATACCCCTTCAGCATATCATATCTTGTTTCGCGAACCTTCTCTTCTTTCTGTTCGTGTGGACTAATTTCGACCCTTCTTGTTACCTGCTGCTCGCGGTCGCGACCGTGTACCGTCCTGGACCCGGAGGGATACTGTGTAGTTTTTGACTAATGACGTTAATGCCGACTTGTCTCATTGACTGCCCAAACCCTCTTGCGGAGAAATGTTGGGAACCTTGGCCAGAAGTGCCATTAATATGGAAAGAAAAGATACCCCTTATCTGCCTTGAATGGGCCCCGGAACTCATGAGCGAAGCGTCTCAGCATGTTGTGTTTTACTTATTCCGAAGTCGTCTGACTTGGACATTGTATTTTTCTGTTTCCCATTTGCCTTCGAGCATAGTTGAGAGAGACACCCAATTTCCTATGTATTTGCGCAATTTTACTGAATTGAGTGACTTTTTCTTTTCTTCTTTCTGATGAACTATCGCGAGATTCTGCTTCCATTCCTACGTGCCTGTGATATCAAACTTGGTGTTTTAGTGTCTCCACATCTGCACAAGCCCGATCTTGTGTGCCCAACACAGCATCTGGCTGAGTTGGTCAAGTTACTCTTTTTCTTTTATGCCTTCTCTCCCGCGCTTTAACCTTCTGACCGTTGTTTAAATCTTATCTTCCATCTTCATGTATTCTCCCATATTCTCTTCGGCCATTTGGCATGATTAGAAAGAGCCACTATTCAGCCTTTGATATCCTTCGGTCCTTGTCGCTGGGCCATGCTTCGTGTCCCAGACATCCCATTTTCGTCCATTTGCCAGGAATCCCGTCTGATGCTGTTGTAGACGTTGAACCAGCTCTTATTTGTCAACGGAGTCGCCGCTTGCCTTATGCACTGCTCAGCTTTATCAGTATGAACTGTTCCGTCGATCAATCATCTACCTATGAAGGAAGAACAGATCATCTATTCCCAGCTTAGTCGGAGCCCGGAAGGCCAGTCCTCCCGTAGTCCGGAAGCATCAAGAATGATTGCCTGATTTTCCGATGGTCAGTCATCTGAATGAATCACCAGTAGATTTAGAACCGGTGGACAGCGCCGGCCAGCTAATTCAGCGCCATGCCAGGATGCTGCACCTTCGACGACTTTCCTGCAGGCTAAAGATGGCGGGATCGGCCAAGCTGAGTACGAGACGACCAATGACGCTTCGTTGCGCGAGGGGTTCGTCCAGCTGCCGGCGGAGAGTATACGAGCGCTAGAGCGACGTAAAGAGGGGCGGTTTGACTCACGGTCTGGCCGGCAGGAATGTGGATTCTGGACCCCAAGCTTTCTCGGCCGTCATTCGTGAGACCAGTGGATATCTGTCGCACATTAATATCGCGCCCAGTGGGCCGGCGTTGCGCTCGCAAGGCTGCAGAGGACTAATACTGTACAGTGTACTTACACAGAACAGTGTGCGGCTCCTTCCAGAGGGCGTTGGTTGCCTCGAATGAAGGATTGGAATGGGAAAGTACAGTAGCGAATCTTTCAGTTGAGGATTAATTCACAGATGCCCGGCACACACCAATGACAAAGCTCCGTGCCCTTATCCTGCAGTCCCACTACACATAAACTGCTTGCTTGAAACCCCGACTGGGCCAATTTCCCCAGCTGAACTCTACGCGATCCCGCCGATGATCAGTTGCTGTGTCTCCCTCCCACCACACAACCACCACCTGCTGCTCTTGGCCGCTTCCTCTGACAAGCAGTGCCACTCTTCCTTCTTCACTTCTTCTTCTTCCTCTTCCTCTCTTCCTTCTGCCCGTCCTCTCTTCCTTCTTTCTTGCGCTCTTCTTTTCCGTCTCCATTCACGCTAATCAAGCTAACCTACGCTCTCAACGGTAACCTGAGAACTGTGTCCTCCGTGCAAAGCTAGTCCCTAGTCTGCACCATATCTTGGCTCCTCTTGTGTGGGCGATCGGCTGTCGCACTTGTCGCACTTACACCTACCCGTGGTGGTTCATTCCCCAGCCTTGATCCATGTCGCTCCAGGTGGACGACCCATGGTCGCGAGGCCGTTCCAAGTCCCCAAGCGGCCGTATCCGCGAGCGTTCCAAGTCTCGCGATTATCGCGATCCATCCGGCGGTGATCCCCGCAGTTATTACACCTCTGACCTCAATGATGGAAAGCTCCGCGCTCGATCACGCAGCAGAGGTGTAAGCCCTGGTGGCGCTCATCGGACTAGCTCGCGGTATGGCGCTGCTGGTCCCGATTTCCAGTCGGATGGACGGGAAGCCTACCTGCGACCCGAACACGGCCGCGATCATTATTATCAATCCGATTCGGGAGAAAGCAAAGGGACAAGGCGTGACGCTGGGCCGCGCAATTCACGCCATCGTCTATCTGTTCACTATGAAAGTGAGTCTTCGCTCGACTCGCTGAGTTCGGACGATGATGATGCGCTTGCATATGGTGATCTTCCCGGGAGCCGCGACAACAAAACATACGGAATTTCAGGTCTCAAGCGCTATATGCCTAAGCTTGGTTCTACACGTCGCAAGGATCCTGCTATGATGTCCGGGGCTCTTAATAACGATGCGGCCCACGGAAGCAGGCCGTCGCACTCTCACACCCCTTCGAGAGAAGAAATCAAAGGTAGTTTCGCCAGTCCCGAGCCTTCCCCCTACGGCGGCTATCCTGCATCATCCACAGCTCAGGCCAACTGGGCACCGGTCCCTGAGTGTGAGCGACCGGGCTTCGTGCCGCCAACTTCTCAGGCGCAAACTCCATCCATGCCCGGGGCGTTTCCGTATCCTGCAACCACTGAGCCCTCTGTACCTGCTACAACCGCAGCCGCCACTACTTCCTCCGTACGCTACGTGACTCCACAGGGCTTGCAGGAGACTTATTCATCGTTTAATGGCCGTCCGCTGTCGATGCCTGGGGGCAACGCCTACCCTCATGTGGCTTCGGCACATCAGCGCACTGCTTCGGCTGCTTCAACTGACGCGACTGTCAAGACACCCTACGCTGCCCCACCTCAGTACCAATACGCGCACATTGATCCAAATGTCAAATATGCTTCTAAGAGCGCAGCAGATAGTGCAGCCAAGCCGGTCGCATACTCAGCAACACCTCAATTCTCCACCAAAACGGGAACTACTGCGGCAAAACAGCCACAGGTTGCCGATGTCAAATATTCTGCTAACCCTCAATTCTCTAAGGTGCCTGCCACCAGCTCGGGCAATAGGATGGAGTATGTCGAAATAGCGCCTCGGACCACCACGCGTCCTCACAGTCGCTCCGTATCTTCCGTCAATAACCTCACGGTCGAGGGCCCCGACCCCACCGGCAGGCCTGCCAGTCCAATGCTGGAGCCATACAAAGGCACGTATCAGAGCATATCACCCATGCCATCGCCGATCGTCATTGCCCCCAGGCTGGACGGCGATATTTCCGACATGGAGCCTCTTGAGTATGATTCGGATGAAGAACTCAGGGTACATAGACGGAAGAAATCCAAGGATGATCGAGAGCGTACGAAGTTGACAGTCGAACGCCCAAAGCGTGAGAGCAGCCGAAAGAGGGAGAGCAGCCGCGTGCGGTACGAACACCGTGCTTCTGGGGAACTTGAGAATGTCGTGGTGAGAACCCCCAGTCGCAGCCAGAAACGCGTGTCATTCTATGATGCGGGTCCGGATGCCGCAGCGCTTCACGACGCCCTGGAACGGCCACGACATCCCGATAGAAAAGCCCTGATCCGCATACTGCCACGTTTGAGTGCAGATGAAATCATGGAACTCCGCGACGAGTTCAAAAGACATAACAAACTGCATGGGAAGGGAATCAACATCGCCAAGCTCATCAAACTTAGGGTTGGAGTCGATGCGTTTGGCAAGGCGTGCCACGCCACCGCTCTTGGTCGATGGGAATCCGAAGGCTTCTGGGCGAATTGCTTTTACCAGTTGGGCAACTCTAGGCGTGAACTCCTCATCGAATGTCTGTTTGGTCGCACTAACCGAGAGATCCGCGAGATCAAGAAGGGCTTCTCAGATTCACGATATAAAGACAGTCTGGAGAGGTGTATGAAGGCCGAGTTGAAAGGAGACAAATTCCGCACGGCGGTGCTCCTTGTCCTGGAAGAGAGCCGACAGAGCGAGCGCGACCCAATTGATATGCGCCTGGTGGACGAAGATGTGCACAACTTGTATGCCGCACTAATGACACAACATGGGGGAGAAACGCCCATGATCTACATCATTGTGCGGCGGAGTGATTCGCATTTACGAGAGGTCCTCCGTGCGTATGAAAAGAGATACGGCCACAATTTTGCCAAAGCCATGATTAGCAAGTCCCGAAACCTGGTGGTATGTTTCCGAAGGAGTTATCGTTTTCGAACATTGTCAATGAACTAACTGAGATTAGGGAGAGACTCTTGCGCATATTCTCAATGGAGCCATCAACCGGCCGATGCGCGATGCTCAGCTCCTCCACCAAGCCCTTCGCGAGTCCCGCCCGGGGAAGGACCGGTCAGACCTACTGATCTCGCGCCTCGTCCGGCTGCACTGGGAACCGCGGCACCTGGAGCGCGTGAAGGATGACTTCAAGCAGCGATACGGGCAGCGCCTGGAATCGGCCATCAAGGAAGAGGTGTTGACCAGCAGCGGCGAGAGCGACTGGGCGGAGTTTTGTATCGAGTTGGCGCGCAGTTCGAAAGTCTTGGCTACTCGGGATTACTAGATCTCTCTCACTTCCACCCACTCACTCACAGAGAGGAAAGAGAGGGGTGGTTGACGCCATTTGAAATTCAAGATCCACGATGGCTAGAGGAACAGTATGATGACATTTTGGCATGAGTGTTTCAAGTAATGATAACGACCATGATGATCAAGATAACGATGACGACGCAAATGATAACGATGCGGTGCATGTTGAATGTGCATTCGGGAGAGATTGGAGGCTAGAATGTTTACCATCCAGTATCAAGAAAATCGAAATACCTACTACTCTTCCCAGGATTGGGGGGTGAGGCGAGAGATGCGGCTGGACTGAAAGATTAGCGAATCCACCGTGGGTTCGGGGCCCAAACTGACTAGTGACCCCCTAACCACCGGCTAGAGAGTCTAGCAGCATCTCCAGAGTCCCTCAACAGGGTCAGACTTTGGTTAGCCCCGATAGATCAGGAGTTGACTCTGAATTTAGGATAGTTAGCCAATGATAATCAATGTTTTCGGTGATCCCTGAGTATTTATCTAAGACCATCATAAAGTATCTTCCTACTATTTTAGTATTTATGTATTGAATTGAGAGAATTTTATTCCTCCTGGATGGATCTGAGATCTGAAGGGGAGAGAGGCGGGACAGACAAGCCAAGCAGCGGACCCGCCGCGACCGAGCGGGAAGAAGATGAGGAATGAAGAAGACCCTGTCACACACCCTCCCTCTCCCAGACCCTTAATGACTCGGAATATAGTCCAACTCCCCTTTCTCTCTATCTGCCTAATTATCTACCTACAGAACATGGTCTGATAGGTGACTCCTTACAGGGCAAGCAGGCCTACGTAAGCAGTCCAGCCATACTCCTAATCCAGCCATGCTATTCTTGTCCACTGCGCCGAGATCAACCCAAGCCACCGGGCCTCTCTAGTGGTGGGCGCGGCATCGCAGGCAACATTAGCCGTCAGTCAGCTCTGCCCTATTGGATCGCCCGTCCCAAGATTGCGTGGGTGCGAACATGTTTAGCGCTCTCCTGACTGACGGCGAGAGTGGTGGGTGTGTTTGGACGGTGTTTGAGAGACCTATGCCGATCTTCGGGGTGCCCCAGTCGAACAACGAGACTATCTATCTGGGCCCGCGGCGTGGGTTGGGACTCTCCAATCCGTATAAGGCGCGCGTATCTGCAAATCAGCCTTCCATGATTTCCTGCGCCATGGCTGATCGGGTTTTCCTTTTTCTCTCTTCTCACCTTCCTCCTCCCCTTCCTCTTTCCTTCTCCGCCCCTGGCCTGTCCCTCCTCCGCTCGTTGGGTTTTTGCTTTGCTGGGAGGGTTCATCGTCACTCTCCGCCCGAACCATGATTTGGTGTCTGTTCGCCTTGCTCTTTTCGCAATTCACTTTTGCGCAGCGCCACGATGAGGATCTTATGTCCTTTGTGACAGTAAGTTGATCATTTCTTTTCAACCGGCTAAGTAATGCATGTGTTGCTCTCGTGCTCATGATCATCGCCTCAGCTCCCCGAAGTTCGGGCCCTGAAATGGGAAATCACTCACCATGACCGGGACCGCGCCGCACCGGGTTACTGGTTTGTTGCTCCCTACGGCATGATCGATCCGGAATCTCCGACTCGTAAGTATCTGCAGTATCAGGTCGGACCCTATATCTATGACCAAGATGGCGTAAGACTCTACCCCCTTCACCGAGTTTTTGAATTGGTTGATTCGTCAACATGACTAACTCAATCGCGGCGATCAGGTTCTCATCTGGGCCGGATCCCCAATGTTCGATAACCGAAACACCTTCGACTTCAAAGCGGTGCACAATATCGACGATAAGCCTCACTTGTCCCTGATTGCGCAACGGTCCTTTGATGAAACTGTCCCGGGAAGTGGTCTTATTTTGAGTCAGCATTATGAGGTGGAATCGGAGGTTTTCAAGCTTAACGATACCTGGGAATTCAATGTCCACGAGTTTAAAGTCATGGATGGAGGCAAAACAGCCCTGGCCTGTGTCTATCAGTCGAAAATGCTGGACATGACTGATGTGGGCCGTCCGGGGGAACAGAAGCTTTTCCTGACGGGTGGATTTGCAGAGTTGGATTTGGCTACTGGTGCACCGCTATTCGAATGGGACTCGTCTGATCACCTGGGCTTGCATGAGACCGACCGCTTTCACACCTGGGAGGAGCCTATGGGTCCATGGGGTTTCGATTCTGTGCACATGAATGCTGTCGATAAGAATGAGGCTGGCGACTACATTATCTCGATGCGCTTCACCGATACCATCTATATGATTTCCGGCGTAGATGGCCGCGTGATGTGGCGACTGGGTGGGCGCGAAACCAATTTCGTCCAGGACTTTGTCTTTTCCAAGCAGCATGATGTCAAATTCGTCTCGTCGAACGGGACACACCATATCATTTCGTTCCTGAACAACGCCTCCGACGAGATCACCACCGACGAGACCATATCCTCGGCCCTATTTGTCGAGCTGGACACGACCGCCAACCCGATGACCGCCCGGTTGATCGCACGCTACAACCGTCCTGACGGCCAGCTATCCCGACTCCGCGGCAATACCCAACTTCTCCCCAACGGCAATGTATTCGTTGGCTGGAGCCAGTCAGGCTACCAGAGCGAATTTTCTCCAGAGGGAAAAGTCTTGATGACCGCCCGGTTCGCATCGGACCGCTTCTCGACCTACCGCGCTTACAAGTACGAGTTCACCGGCCGGCCTCGCGCGCCGCCCGATCTGGTAGCATCCGTATACGGGACGACCGAGGACGACCTGACCACGATCTTCCATGTCAGCTGGAACGGTGCCACCGATATAGCCGCCTGGAACTTTTACGCCCAGGCATATGACGGCGGAGCCCCCGTGCTGATCGGCAACGTCTCCAAGACCGACTTCGAGACCATGTTTGTTGCCCACGGCTTCCTCGACTGGGTATCTGCTGCAGCTGTCGACCACCAAGGCAACGTGATGGGTACCTCGGCGGTGCATCGCACTAAGGCTCCCGATAACTGGGAGGCCGCTGGCTTTGTGGGTTCATCGAAGGCTCCTTCCCCGATTAACCCGTCGAGCATTTACAACAAGGCCCAGGCGGGCAAGGACCACTCCTCTGCTTTGTCAAACGGTGACACCAAGGACCTCCTTGCAGCGCTTTCCCAAGCGTACCAGGTTGTGCGTGGTCTTGGAAATCTGCTCATATTCATTCTGGTTGTCTCGTCCTTCGCGGGAGTTCTCTTGGGCGCATTTTGGGTCCTTCGGAGAAGGAGAATCCAGCGGTCGCAGCCGTATCGGCATGTGCCTTCGGAGGAGAGTTTTCCTATGGAGGAGACGCCGTTGCGGAATAATGCTTCTGATTAGAGATTCATGAAGCCAAAGAAAAAAGAGACTGTTTATTTTTATGTAAATGTTAGTATAGTTGTATGATTCTTGTATATAAATATGTACCTTTGCATATGCCAGTATCCACTGGTTCTTTGTTTAGTCTAGATCGTATTTGGAGTCGGATGGAGAGGCATCATCGTCAGTAGACAGCTTCTAAAGGGCAAGAAGAGAAATTTCCCATGCATGTCGATGAAATAAAGGTATGCTCTCCTAAGCCGATAATATTCTTTAGTTTCGCGAAACGCAATGAGTGAGAGCAATGGCGCGATCGGAGTTCTCGGACTATCTGTTATCTACTAACAACTTAATAGTACCTCCCTACATCATTGACTTTGTATCGTATACTTTAGTAGACAATAGAATATGCAATACATGCAGCAATGATAGAACTTAGCGAAGCTAGTTTACTCTACTTTGTAGCTTGAAACATCATTACTAGTGATGAAGTGTGCATTAGTTGTAGAATGGTTTCTGTTGATTATAGGATATTTATCTAGTAGTTTAGCTGATGAGAAACTTTAAGAGTAGATATTTACTAGCAATTTGCTAGTGTGTCTTTGCTTTTAACAGTAATTATGCTTTATTTTGTTCATGTCAGTCCGGATCAGCAGCTCTACTACATTGTTGGTGGGTCGGGGTTTGCAAATCCATGGGTCGGAGGACTTTGGCTCTGTGGAAATGAACAATCAAACAAGCAAACAACTAAGCCATTGTTGTTCCTACCCCTGACCGTAACTATCTATAGTTCACTGTTGACCGAGGTGGGAGCGGTGTCTTGGATTGTATTTTTTCCAACTTGAAGCTGTCTGCGCTTCGTGCAGGTTACCACTGATGTCTTGTCTGTGAGACACATGGTGCAGTATATACTACTAGTGTGTGCAGTATCAATGCTTCAATGCTCTGCAAGAACACCATATCATGCTGGTTCTTGATCGGGTTGCATTGACTACTTAGCAGTCAGTCGTTCATTCCCCTGTGGCAAAGATCGGGCACAAAAAAAGAACAGTTGAAAATAGAACAGCAGCAAAAAGCAAAGTGGACTGGACTGGACTTATTGTTGCCTGGTACCTGCATTGGCGAGATGACGGATCATTTCTTCGGTGGAACACGATCTGGGATCTTGAGCAGGGAATAATCTTACTGATCGTAGAATAGTCCAGTGAGTTAGCTGATGAGGGAGGAAGACACGGCGAGAACTCCGCATCGGTCAGGCTGCCGCCATCCGATCCCCGGAGAGGTCAAGGCGTCCATCTCCAAATCTCTCTCTCTCATCTCCACATCTTCACCAGCCATGGTCGATGCTCAGTGGTCGAGCGCAGTCACACTGCAGCCATGCGCACTTCTTCCCTGCACCTCCCTCTCTGACTGGTGGACTTCATGGTTCCTGGACGCAGGGGAATGAGGGGGAAACCCCGAGGTATCGATTTTCTCACATGATGCTATCACAAATGTCGGTCACACTGACGGGGCTCCAGTTTATTCTGCTTGTCCACCCGCTGTACTGTAGGTTTTCGAGTCCACTCCGATGCTGGCCGCTTGGCTTTACTTTCCTCCCCTTGCTGGGAAATGTCGTGGGACTTGCGATCGATATGAGCAGTATTTGGCTTGGTTGGGATAACCGGTCTGGCGGTGACTGATCGACTCCGGGGGTTGACTTTCGATGGCCACGATACTATATATGATTTACCCTCCGAATGCAGCAATTCAGAGTTCTGCAGGAGTCACCGTAAGAACTCTTATTCGGTGGGAGGATCGATTGGCACCAACGCCATGTTGTCTCCTGCCGTTTTTAGACGGCCTCCTTTTCACATGGAGGATGTGTGTCTTTTCCATCAAAGTTGTTTGTCAGTTGTTTCACTCGCTTGCCGGCCGCATCCACTTCATTCTCCGCCGCCATAAGTTCGGTGAAAAGCCATGTCACCTGTTTCCTCGGTTAATCTATCGTTAATGCTCGCGCGGAACTCATGATATTGTCACTCGGTCATGTCCGCTTTCAGTAAGTAGTCATATGCAATATCGTGCCGCTTGCAAAGACCATGGGGCCTGGTTTGACATTGTTTAGTTCATTTGCGCTCCTTCGGGCTCCAGTCCATGGGCTCACCTGGATTTTAGACCAAGTATATTGCTCGAGCTAGTGGCGTCTTGCTTTAACCCATTGGTTCTCTTCTTGGCTAAGTTATTTGCTTTTGGCCCGAGGCTGTCCTGCAAGCCCAGCGTTGTGTATGGGAAATGGCTCCGCGAGACCACATACCTTAATCAAAGTCTTCTTGGTAAGATTTGATCACACTCAGCCACGCCCCCATACCGGCCCCCCCTTTCTTCCATGAATAACCTCTTTGCTTTTCTCGGACATATGGATGCGGACCGCATGGGTCCTGTCCACTCGGAGACTGACAGGTCAGACGACGCTGGGGGGAGGTAATTTCTTATCGCGCAGTTCCGTGCCGTCTTCGAGAACTTGGGGATGTTTTGTTTTTGACTAGAATCTCCTGACGATCAGGGTTGTTGCTTTTGATTCAAATATGCCCCCATTCCCTCTTTTCTTGTCGGAATGCTGAGTCGATTGTCTACGCCCTGAAACTGTGCCTGACATTCCAGTCCCCATTCCAGGAGTTACCTATCTCATTCTGCGGAACCTTAAGTGTTTTGACATTGCCTTTCCTGTGGGGAATAACAAAAGAAGTACTGCTATAAAGGACTATGTGTGCCTGTTGATTGTCTTGCAGTCAAATTTTACAATGTATCAGTTCTTCATAGGTTTATTGGTTACGGTGCTGGCCGCTTCGGCCAGGGCTACCTCTAGTTTCTCGCCTGCCCGGCCGCCTGCGATACCGCTGGCTGTCAAGTCGCCATACTTGAGCACTTGGCTGTCTGCAGGGAGTGATGGAGGTAATGGTGGGTATCTTGCGGGTGAATGGCCGATTTTCTGGTCGTAAGTACTCATACTGATGGTGTTTGATCTGGAGTGAAATAAGCTAAATGATATTGCTGGAATAGTGGCCAGGTCACTGGCTGGGCTGGTATGATTCGTGTTGATGGCAGTGCTTACACCTGGATGGGAATCCCTGGACCGGACACTGTGACACAAACCTCCTATGAGTACACATCTACGAAAAGTATTTTCACCATGAACGTCGCCGACAAGGTGGAGATGAATATTACATTCCTTTCGCCAATTACACCGAATGATTACAAACGGCAGTCGCTCGTTTTCTCCTATGTCGATGTGCAAGTCGAGTCTCTCGATGGCGAGGCCCACGATGTGCAGCTGTACGCAGATATTTCGGCGGGTGAGTACTTGCCCTACGGGCCGGAGATACTTTTGCGTAGCAACGGGTGGGCTGTGTCTAACCTATCTATATAGAATGGGTGTCGGGAGACCGAACCACGACCGCAACATGGGATTATGGTACCACCGATAACGGTGTCGCCTATCACAAAGTCAGCCGCCAAACCCAGCTCGCTTTTTCTGAGATCAGTAACCAGGGAGAATGGGGAGACTGGTACTGGGCCACAGACAACAGTGAAAGCTTGACCTATCAGTCTGGTGGAGCTGTTGATGTACGTGCAGCATTTGCTGCGAACGGCACGCTAGGCGACTCGCAGGACTCTGACTACCGTGCCATTTCTACCGACTGGCCTATTTTTGCATTTGCTCATGACCTTGGATCTGTCGACTCCGCAGCTTCAGTTCTATACTCTATCGGCCTTGCCCAGACCGACGCAATTCAGTACGAAGGAAGTAGCAGTGGTTCCACTATTCTACCTTCACTGTGGACCAGTTATTTCAGCACGGGCCCAGAAGCTGTAAGTCCCACGAGACAAGGTTGCTAGGACTATACTAATGCCGCTTTCAGCTGGACTTCTTCCATAATGACTATGCGACATCCTCTTCGCTCTCGTCCGATCTTGATACTCAAGTAGCCCAGGATTCCATTGCCGCAGCTGGACAGGACTACCTGACGATCACTTCTCTCACGGTCCGTCAAGCTTTTGGCGCGACCCAACTGTGCGGAACCTCGGACAACACCTACCTGTTCATGAAAGAAATCTCGTCGGATGGAAACGTGAACACTGTCGACGTCATTTTCCCGGCACATCCCATCTTCTTATACACAAACCCTGAGCTTCTCAATCTCTTGTTGAAGCCACTTTTCGAAATTCAGGAGTCTGGCAACTACCCCAACGCATACGCCATGCATGATGTAGGAAGCCACTATCCTAACGCTACTGGTCATCCAAAGGGCGATGATGAGGCAATGCCACTGGAAGAATGTGGCAACATGGTCATCATGGCCTTGGCATATGCGCAGAAGGCGAGCGACACAGATTACCTGTCTCAGCATTATACCTTGCTCAACCAGTGGACGGCGTACCTTGTGGAGGATGCAATCTACCCTGCCAACCAAATCTCGACGGATGACTTTGCAGGTAGCTTAGCGTATGTGCAGAACCCCGCTTCATGTGAAATTGGATGCTAATATCAGGTATAGAAACCAGACCAACTTGGCCTTGAAGGGCATCATCGGTATCGAAGCCATGGCTGTCATTAGCAACGAGACTGATCACTCTGCTAATGGGGCCAACTACACTGCCATTGCTCACAACTATATCGACCGATGGCAGATTCTGGGTATCGCGCACGATGCCAACCCTCCTCATGCGACGCTTGCTTATGGCTCCAACAACACCCACGGTATGTTCCACCTCAATAATGCCAGACTACGTACACTGACAGTTCACTAGGTCTCCTGTACAACCTTTATGCCGATAAGGAGCTGGGCCTGAACTTGGTCCCGCAATCCGTATACGACATGCAGAGCACCTTCTACCCCACTGTCCAGCTAGAGTACGGAGTGCCGCTCGACACTAGACACAATTACACAAAGGGTAAGCTTGACACAGTTCTACCATGGTGTTCACTTATTGACATGTTCTACTAGCCGACTGGGAAATGTTCACTGCGGCCATCGCATCAACCAGCACTCGAGACATGTTCACGCAACTTCTATCGAAATGGATCAACGACACGCCCACAAACTACGCAATGACTGATCTCTACGATGCAGTTGGCGGAGGGTAAGCAACAGCCAGAAAACACTTCGACTTCAATCAGCTGACTTGTTAATAATAGATACCCATCCAACGTCTTCATCGACCGCCCCGTCGTGGGCGGCGCTTTTGCCTTGCTCCTCCTCAACCAAGGCAACTAAACCACTTCTCTCGTTTCATTTCGACCCATCATTGCATCTGTGCATAATATCCTCTGCTTGGTTCAGTGGAGCCCTTCCATTCTTCTTCTCTTCTTCAGCATTCGATGTGCAGGTCACTCGTTATACATTCATATTAGGTGGAGCATGATATTTGGTATTGTTATATATTGCTTAAGCAGGGATATTGCCCCCTCCCCGTCTTCTTGTCACTTTCGTTTAAACTTCCCTCATGGGTATTACGGGGAGGGAGGATCTACAGTGCATTGGGAATTGTCGAGTACATAATTATCTTTCTAGGAAGCTGCAAATATTACTTAATTATCTTCTTACTGTGTAACCTCAGATAGGTAGACAAACACATAGTTAACTGCATTTGGCTATATATGGAGCTATTCAGGGAAACAGATTTGGATCTCATTCTACTCCAAGTAAGACATGAACTTTTGGCGCAAGACACCACATAATCCATTACCATCATTCATCCATCCCCATCCCCATACCAAGTCTCAAGTATCCTAGAGTGCGAGTAACTAAACTCACAACACATCATGAGCAAGTTCATCATCATCATCCGCAACAGCAGCATCCACAACAGACGAATCATCCCATCCATCGAAAGAGCGAATAAGATCTATAACTTCAGTCAGCTACAAACAAGTATCTCCTAAGAAGAAAAAGGGATATACATACCATAATACAACATCATCGCCTCCAGATGAATATCAATGTCGATCCTCTCATCCACAGTATGAATATTCAACGCTTTACCCGCTCTCGACGGACTCCATCTATAAATATTCCGCGACAAGGGCCAGTAGAATCTCGTATCGGTATTTCCGGTCATGATGTCGCCGCTCACGACGACCTTCCTGCCTTCGAGACTCGGGACGGATTCAAAGACGGAGCGAGTGACGCCCGAGAACCGCGCCCAGACGGCGTCGGTGTCGGTGTCCGTTGGACTTACCGGGGCGGGGCTGAGGGCGCCGCTGAGGGTAGTGAGGGTGAGGTGGTTGTTGAGGGAGGGGTCGACGGTATCGCTGTCCGGGAAGGCCGTGAGGGAGAGGTTGTATTTCTTCACGATGGGGGAGATGATGTCCACAGCGCGGTTCTTGATGTCATCTGGGGTTTGGTGCAGTGCGATACGGTAGTTGACGAGGGCGCTGATTTTCTCTGGGAGAGCGTTGGATTTGACGCCGCCGTTGATGATGTCTGCGGCTTGGGAGGTTTGGAGGATGAAGCGGAATTTGTCGCCGCGGGAGGAGGCCAGTTTCTCTGCGAGAGAGACGTAGTCGCTTGATTGGAGGACGGAGGCGAGCCAGGGCTCGACTTGCGAGGGGGAGTGGCGGACTTGGCATTCGAGCATTTTGCGGGTTGGGTGGTGGGTGTCGAGGACGGGGACGAAGAGGTACTGGCGTTCGAGCTCGTAGATGATTTCGGAGATGATGCCGATTCCTGTGTGTGGAGGGGGCACGGAGCTGTGGCCGCCTGGGACGGCGAGGGTGAGGACTACGTCGATGCTGCCCTTTTCGCCGACGCCCGGGAGGGCGTAGACGACGCCGTTGGAGGTGTCGTCGAGGACTTCGAGGCCCATGCCGCCTTCGTCGAGGATGAAGGCGAAGCTGTCGGGGCCGTATTTCTTCTCGAGGAATTTGGCGATGGATCCGGCGCCGAGGAAGCCGTGGGATTCTTCGTCGAAGCCGAAGGCTAGGACGACGGTGCGGGTTGGGTTCCAGTTCTGGGAGAGTAGGTCTTCGACGACGGACATCAGTCCGATCAGGACGTTCTTGCAGTCGCTGGCGCCGCGGCCCCAGAGCCATTCGCCGTCGAAGTGGCCATCGAACGGGGGATAGGTCCAGTCGGCGGGGTCGTTGATGGGCACGACGTCCTGGTGCGCGGTGAAGAGCAGGGGCTTGAGCGAGTCGTCTGTGCCATTGAGGGTGAAGACGAGACCGAATCGGTTGATGTGGTCTACGCGGGCGTAGGAGTGGCTGGATTGTGTTAGATGGAGTTGTGTGGATGGGGACTGCGGACGTACGTGAGGGGGAAGAGGGTCTTTAGGAGGTTCTGGAAGTCGAGGAATGGGGCGAACTTCTCGTCGTAGGGGTCCTTCATGTAGTCGTCGATTGCGGTCGGGACCTGGACGGCCCTGGAGAGACGATTGACTTGACGCGACTTGAAGGAGGCATCTTCTACGAACTTGAGAGCTGGGAAGAACCCGTCATCAGGAACCTCGACCTTGGGTGCTAGCGGACAGAAGCCGTCGGTGTGCTCTCCGAAAGTAAGAGAATCGAGGATTTGCTGCGGGGAAGGGATGCTGAGGGCTGCAATTGAAGGGGCAAGCAGCCCTGCGACAAGGGGAAGCAATTGGAACTTGGACATCTTCAATTCCATTCCTGGGGCACTTTCTGCAGAAGATAGGAACCCTGGGGGAATCGGAGGATAATAATGAGGAGAAAGGGCAAGGCCGAGGCTACGTCAAAGCATGGGGTTATCTTATCGCAGAGTTGCGCAATCATTGCCGTGATAGCCTTTCCCCTCTCCGTATCGCTCGGGTTGATAAGTTTGCCGGTCGGAGAGCGGACGGAACCGCTCAGCTGGGGAAAGAATTGCCATAGCAGGAAGGTCGAGGCAGGCGAGATGAAAGTGCGGTAAGCAAGCTTGAATAGATTGATAGCATGCAGTAAAGGCGCGATGTATTGGATTTGGGTATATAGCGGAGAGCTTCATGAAGGTACTGAAATTGAGTTGCAATGGCAGTGACATTAAGCCCACTCAGTGATAGACCAGCAAGACCTCAACATTGGATTATTTTCCACCACAATGTCAATCAATGAATTTAATGAACAGCATAGCATCGGCCGAACCCGTCCAGCAGCGATCTCTCCTGCGTGAAGGTGACAAATCAAGGGATGCAATGTTAGTCATTAGTCTCACAAGGATTGCCAATAGCAACACCCCTTTCGTTCACTTGTTGCATATTGTCGTCGGTCGGCAACATTGGCAGTCAACATTGCCTGGCGGATTTCACCAGTCCGGGACTTTCCCCCTGCCATTGTAGGGGATCGTATCAATTGTCAAACATGAGACTAGGTCAACACAGCAGCCTTGGCCATGAGGCTGTCTGCAACAAGTTCTGCAGACGTCAGTGCATCTCCGTGGCGCGATCAAGCTTGTGGATGATCGGCGCTTAACATGGCCGGTGATTTATGCGGGAGATTCGAACACTGACAGAAGCAAATTAGCGGAGTGGCTGACGCTAAAGCAGAGCGAGTGCAGCTAAGTGAGAACTATAAGAATGTCGAGGGAGACGAGGAAGAGTGAGGCCCAAAAGGGGGAGAGTTGGGAGTATCAGGTGCCAGTCTCGTGATCGGCAACAATCGAGGCGAAAAAGTACAATGCAGCTTCAACATGGCTCCCTTTTACTCCATTTCTCCATTCTGCCTGCCAACTCTGCTATCCGACTTTGGTTCCATGGGTCAGGAACAAAACAAACAACAAGCGAGCCTCCACCACTGAAGATGCTAAGAATACTATCTAGGTAGCCCCAGTCCGACCAAGACACAGCCTCACCTAACAAATCAAATTTGTCCCAGACCATGAACGTCATCCTCCTCTCCACAGGGGCTCCCCAGCCTGACGACATCCACAGGGCCAAAAGAGTCTGACAATCGATAGTCGGCCGCGTGGTGGTCTCAGAAAGCAATAGTGCGACGATCGTTACATCACCGGAACAAACAACATCCCTCGCTCGGGTACCTGGCGAACGGTGTATCCGCATTGCGGAGGCTTGTAGCCACTCAAATGGGTCCTCCCAAGACCAACTCCATCAACTCGACAGGAACAATGATGAAACATCGCCCCCAAGACAGCAAGGGATCGGCGATAACGCGCGGGACGTGGAGCCGAGCGAACCATTTTGGAATCCGGAGAATCAGATGGGCGTTCGTTCACGCGATCTTCAGATCGGCATTCTACTGCGTTTCACACGCCGATTTTTGTGTCAACTTCGGGTGTTCCAAAATCCCAAGGGGTTGGGTCGGGTGCCAACCCCATCCTGAACGATGGGATAATCGGATGGATCATATTTAGGTTATGCCTGCCTGTGAGTTTTGCTGATATCAGTTGTTTCAGTTCGTTCTTTTATTACTTTCTCTCGTTTCCTGCCGGTATATAACTACTCCTACATACATACATACAAAATCCACTCTCGTTCATTGAGAAAAAACCAAAAGGGAACAGCCTTATAACTTCCATTCTTTCATTGTCCTTCAAAATGCCTAAAGCCAGTGCCACCAAGATCATTTCCCTTTCAATCCTCTCCTTCCTTACTACCGCTTCTGCCTACACCACCGCAGGCTGCTACAGCAGTGCCGGCCAGCTAACCTCAGCGGGCACATATCAATTCCAATCCGAAGGCTACTGCCAGCAAATCTGCACGAAGCAGAACAAGCCCGTCTTTGCCCTCCACAATGGCGACGAATGCTACTGCGGCGACTCCCTGCCTCCTTCAACAGCGAAGGTCTCTTCCGCCCAATGCCAGACCCCTTGCTCGGGATTCCCTTCTGAAACTTGTACGTATATCCCCATTGCGCCCTCATCGACCGCCTTCAACAATCATAAACTAATACATACTGCACTATAGGCGGCGGCGCCAATGCGTGGCTAATCAACAACTCCACCACTGTCTCGGAGTCCACCACCGACGACAAACTTGTCACAGAGCTGAAACGTGAATCCACCGACAACGTCGAGAACGGCATCGTGATCGCCCCAGAGTCTGATGACTCCGACTCGTCCTCGGGGTCCTCCAACTCCTCCCCTGATACCATGAAAGTCAACCCTACCATGGTGGAAACCGGTATCCCCATCGCCAGCTCCGCTGCAGACGGAGGCGCAGCCAAGTCGACTGTCCCGAGCGTGATCCTTACCGCGCCGTCCATGACGGGTGTCACTGTTCCGGCTACTGGTGCTGCTGCGGCCTCGTCTATGGTTGTTGCTGCCTCGTCTGCTTCCGCGTCTGCAACCGCTACTGCATCCGGAGCGGCGAGCAGTGGTTCCGCCGCGGCGAGCCCGTCAACCAGTGCAGGTGCTGCTGCTGCTATCGCTGGTGCTCCTGCTAGTGGGATGATTGGGGGTGTGGTTATGGCGGCAGTTGTTGCGCTCGGACTGTAGATATCTCTTTCTACATTCAACATTATATCTTTTGGAGTATAGATATAGTTACGTCGGTCCAAGACGGGAAGATCATCTTGTATAGATAGCTACGGATGTACGGTATGGAAGCGGGGCTAGGCATTGATTGATATAAGGTACACTTACCTATGATAGGCTGGGAATAATCGCGGGTTCGATGCGACATGTACTTTTTGGTTTCTGCTGAGCAGTAAGCTAATTTCTTAGTGATACTTACTATCGTTGTTTGAGATATCCCTATTTCTGTTACAATTTAGCTATACTACATTTCACTATTTCTTTCGAAACTCACTCCACAAATAACGCCATCGGCAGTAAATCCCATAGCTCAGCTCATCTCCATCGGAGATAATTACCCCATCAGATAAGAACTAAGCAGCAGTAGTCCGCAGGATCACTGAGGCTAAGCAACTCAACTACTGCCCATCGAGACTAGACAAAATACTCAATGTACCAACCATCTATCTACTACCCAGTAGATAGACACTGAATACGAGGGCACCGACGCCATACATAGGTAAAGTCGGTGAGTGAGAATCATCCCCGGCCCCCAATCCACAGCTCATTCATTCGTCAACCCTTTCCTCTTTCCCCTCCCCCTTAACACCACCGATACAAAAGATAATAGCCCTGCAATCCGCCCCCACTTCTTACCTGCAAGGCTCTGAAGAAAAAAAAAGAAGAAAATACGGGAAGGCCTGAACGTAGTTAATAACCAGTCATCCTGTAGGATTTTTTGTTTCCTGCACTTGCAGGCAGGTATTATTAGCTGCCTGCCTGCCTTGCCATTAGTAGGGGGATTTTACTTATGTTTAGCTGGATTCGCAATGCGGCGCGCGCCCGTTCGTCTTCTTTTTTTTCTCCTCTCGGACAGTAGTGTCCTATTGTAGGACACGAGTAACTTCGTGTTATTTCTCTTTCTTTCTCTTTTTAGGTTGATTGATGAGTGAGTATCTGGAGTCTATTTCTTTTGATTTAATAGTATAGAACGTGGTTCTCATCCCGGGCACCGCCCCCTTTCGTCTTACAATATGATTGCCAAAGGGATCCGAACGACTGCGATCCTCCTCCTCCTCCTCCTCCTCGCAACATGCACCCCGACAAGCAGCGCAACAGCGACATGCTACTTCCCTGACGGGTCCATCGCAAGCAACAACGTTCCCTGCTCATCGGACACGTATTCCGCGTGTTGTGGCAAATCCGACGTCTGTCTATCGAATAACCTCTGCATGGATACGGGCGAACAGCCATATGTTCTGTCCCGGGGAGCGTGTACGGATCCGAATTGGGAGTCGGATAATTGTCCGTCTGTTTGTCGTACGTACATGATATGATACTCCCGGTGTTTTTGAGTAGTGCACTGATTTATGATGATGGGGGACCAATGCTAATCTTTGGTTCTTTTGTACTGGGTAGAGAATATCACTAAAGACGGCGGCTGCTCGATTATAGATCTTCTCTATGAGAATGGCGTCTCGACGTATTGTTGCGGCACTCCGATAAGCAATGGCAGTGAGGTGATTTGTCCGCATGGGAACTCGTTTGAGGTCGCTACGGGGAAAATGCTGTATGGGTATGCGGCGCTTGCGAACTCTACAGCGGATGCGTCGTCGGGGAATAGTACGTGTACTTCGTCGAATTCTTCGGCCTCGGTGCCATCTTCTTCAGCCTCCTCCTCGTCGTCCTCCTCATCTTCCGCGGGGCGGGATACAGCCATTGGTGTTGGAGTTGGGGTCCCTCTGGGCGTCATTGCGGGTGCTTCGCTTGTGTGGGCGTTTTGGGAGAGGAAGGAGAGGAAACGGATGCAGAGATCCGATGGTAGTGTTGGTGGCAACCTGGCAATGGAGCAGGGGTACTCTGCACCTATGGTAAAGACACAGCGACCGCCAGTTGAGCTGGAAGTTAATGGTGCGAGGCATGAGCTGGTATCATGATACTGTAAGTTGATTGATAGTTAGATGCCCTGGTTTCACGAATGTACGAGATACACATTGATATTTGATGAGCTGAACTATAGCACAAGCAAGTGCTATAATAATAAACCATTATTAGAAAGCACTGTGTTGAGTGTCCGAAGGGTTGGCATCAGCGCTCCGAACATTCAGTTCATCAAACGAAATGCCACTCGTGCCTTGACTTAAGAAAGCAAGCGCATCTTGATCCAGGTCGCTTTCCAGAGATACGTAATCCTGAAGTTGCATGTTCATCTTGGCAAGGCCAGGGAACCCCAGAAGTGACCCTGTGACCGGTCCGTCGAGGAAAAAGCCTGGATCGTATATCTCACAAGGGTCCTCCGAGAGCGATAAGGTCTGATCAATTGCCATGAGCGGAAAAGACTCTGAGTCAGGAGCAAGAGACGGATCTGCAATCTGTCCAACGCTGAGCCCTGGATCGATTAGAGGGACATTTGCGGAAGACGAGTTACTCGATGGTGTCTGCGCGTTCTGACTGGAAAGCAGCGCTGTTTGGGGGATGGAGGATGATCCAAGCTGTTGGAACGCTTGCTTCGCACGCTTCATTCTCTTTTTCACCGGCAGTAAAGCTGCTCCAAGCCGAGATATTACGTCTCCTTTACAGGCTTGGTGCAGCTGATCAGCAAGGTGGGCTAGCTGATTCTGTCGCAAGCCAATCACATTGCGCTCCTCGATCGAGCCATGCTCATGTTTCGCATATATGTACGAAAAGCACCTGCTGCAAGTGTCTAAAGCATACAGCATTATACTCGATTCATCAACGCTTCGAAACTCTTGCGCAGGCATCAGATTTGACACTCTGGAAGGCCTTTGTTGAATAGTGGTAAGAAGCGCGGAAGCCGACTGGCAAAATGGATCGATGACAGACGGCGAGATCGCCGGCCGCTTTTGATCATTCTTGTCTCCGGAGAAGAGCATATGAATAGCAATACTATGATATGCTTTCAATAGAAAAGACCGTGACGATGCGACGGTGACCTCGTTCTTCACCAGCTCGATGGCATTAAGAAGGATCCTATGCATCCTCGACGCCAGAACAGATCGATCAAAGCAGGGCTGAAAAAGCTGATGTAACTCGTGGAGATGCTGTTTCTGCCATGGTACAGATTGCTTTTCTTTGTTCTCTGTAGGCGCATTGAGATACAGGGTGTAGATATGGGCCACGGTACTGGTGATGTGACTGAGTGGCCATAAGCACTGGGTAGCCTGGACTTGTGCCTGTAGAGTGGAGATATTTCCCGATGCGCGATCTAGGCGGAGAATAGCTGAAGCTGCCTCATCCAGGCAAGGGAAGTCGGGCGTCGTTTCCGGAGTGAGTAACGAGAAAGGCTGATTGCTTTGCATGAATCCCCATGTTGTGGTGGTCAGGCAGAGCCAGTAAACATTCTGTACCAATTCTTGCTCAACGGTACCTACATCCACACCATTGATCTTTCGGCTACACTTGCTGTGATCATCAGCCTGCCAAAAGGTGTACAAAGTGGCAATTGTGCGGCAGGCGTAGCCTGTGAAGCAGGTGGCGCGTCGGGCATGGCCGAGGCATAGCTCCCTCCATCCCACCAGAAAAAGTGCCTGGGCTGTAGAAAGGACGGAGGGGCGTCCAAGCACCACTGTGCGCTGCTTCAGCTGCAATATAGCAAAGTTGGATAGTGTCTGAGGATCGATTGGGGCACATTTATGCAGCCCGCTCACGATAGACTGCATATCGCATGCATCAGCCAATATGACTGCTAGAAGGGCCTTATCTACTGTATCATCCTGGATTGCTGTAGCTAGAAGTGTTTTAGACACCAGAGGTGACAATGGATGGGCCGAAAACCATACGTCAACCAATTGAAGAATCAGATGCTTCCCCAGCACCGTCAACGGATCGATAGCCGACTTAAGAGGGTCAAACATCGTACGCGTGGTGTCCACTGCCAGGGTTGATACATAAAAGTTTTGATTCGGAGCCTCCAACTGCTCAACTCCTAGATGACTAAAACGGAGCGGCAGGATGCCCACCATCTCCGACGCCATAAAGGACAGCAACCCATCATAGCTCAAAGGAAGCTGTATTGAATGGAATGGGGGCTTTTGAGGAGACTTGTCCAACTCCCGTTGATAGGTAGCAATTGCAGTTTGGAAGATATTGCAGCCCGAGTCAGACTTCGTGATAAAGTAGGCATTGAATCTCCGCTCCAGCTCATCACCAACATGAATACTCAGGTCGGAGCTTGTTGCAGAACCCTCGTTACTTTGTGCTTGCGAGTTAGGCGTCAAGGAACTCTCTGCGTTCGCTCCTGCCTGCGCCGAGTTATTGCTACCATTGTTATCATTTAGTTGCGATGTTAATGGAGGCTGTGAAGTTGTTGTTCCCCTCTGCGCGGGCCGTCCCTTTCGAGCTTCCGGACTGTATTCACAGCTGAGGTTGCGCTTTCGACAGGCACTGCAAATAGATTCACCGGAACATCGAATCTTCCGGGTACGACAGAAGACACAGCTGCGTCGCAGACCCATGATGAGCTATAAATGCACTGGAGGGAGATAAATCATCTACAGGGAGCTAACATGGCGGATGGTCGTCAGCAATGAAGCACAGCCTCGTCATGTGAAACAGCCCGAACCCGCTGCCTAAATTGAGACTAGTCCTACTCATATTCCCCAATAGAGAAGCATGTATCTTTGAGATTCAACATAACTCTCATACAATACATCATACTGCAGAAGGCAAACAATTATTCCTCCTGTCCCTTGAGATCGGATCTGTTTCCCGTACTAAATTATATTAGCCGACATGCAATATGATCGCTCAGCACGATCTGCAGAACCCGATCTAGAAGTCTCCTTGCATGTAGAATTTCCCGAAAAAGCCACTGGACCAGACTAGCATCTAATAATATGCAACGATCTGGCTGATCAACACCAGACTTCATGACGGTGAGGGTCGATGGCAATATACTAGTTGCCTTGTTCTATGATTTCTTTGCTATATAAATGGGTTCATACTTCCAGCTCTTGATCATTGTTCTCTACACTCTACACTCAGATTACTTTCCATCCCAACATACAACCACCAAAAGCCAACCATTAATCTTCTCTGATCACCATGAAGTTCTCTGTTCTTTTCACGGCCCTCTTTGCAGCCCTCGTCACAGCTGAACACGTGAAAGGCAGTGGCAAAGTGTCTGCACATGGAAAGCGCCTGGTAAGTAAATAAGCTGTATACATCATTGCCTTCATTCACAAAGAAGGGATACTTACCTCTCATCTAAATTAGGATCTTGAAACGTGCCACACCAATGATGCCCGCGATTGCTGTTCCGCTTGCTGGGAGGCTTCTCAGTACCATTTTATTGACATCCCGGAGTGCTGCGGCAAGTGTGGCTGCTAAGGGATCACTTAAGACAATTTACTTGGGAGACTGGCAATCATTCATACCAGGAGATACACCACTATGTGCTCTGTGATCCAGCAGTCATCTGTCAAATTACTCGTTTCATCATGTCTTGGCTTAGGTTTTCCCTACTGGTGAAGGTTTCCCTATGCTGTTATGCGAATGCAAAGGCTTGATCAATATTGAATTCATGACTTTATCTTTTGGTAACTAAAATTGTAGTCGTTACTCTGTGTTGGGTTATAACTTGCCTACTGAGAATGAAGTGGGTCTACTTTCTTGTAGATCTCGTCTATGCCAGTCTGTCATCTCTCACCTCACCTTCTCCAAGACGGAGTGACCAGGGGGAGATAGTATTGATTCATTTGGGTGTAAAGATAGTAGGAGTCCTGCAGCAAACGTACCGTTTACTAGTCTACTGCGCTCTCATATGTCCAAGTGTCCTAAAGTTACCTACACAGCGGTGTACTGTTTTCACTGCATAAACCGAACTTTCCTCACTGCTGTAAGCCCGGCCCAGCACTGCTTTTCTGTTCACCGAGCAGCCCACGAGATTAAGTACTACTACGTGCAGTACAATCAGTTTTGGTATATAATCTAGTCAGAGACAAGCTTACTAGTGAAGTGGTAGCCTACGAACGGCTTGCCTTGTAGCCGCACATCTGAGAGCTAGCTGATCAAGATACTTCCAACGACGCAATGAGAAAATTAATAGACCATTAATGAAAACCCATTGGGTACAGTCTGAACCCCGAAAATTAGCAATTAATATTGATAACAATGATAACAAACATTAGTGAGATTCGCTGCATTATCCAATCGTTCGTAAACCAGACTCCAGTAATAGGCCTCAACGAATCCCGAAATCCCCGAAGGTATCATAACTCATGTCGTCACACAAAGCATTATCAAAAACCCTGCTCTGAACCCACAGACAGTGTCCATTTTATTCCCTACGGTCCGGGTCAATACCTTGATCACGGAGCTTCTTCTTGTCCACCCCCTTCATCGTCACGTCTACAAAGTTCTTGGGGATCGGTTGGGACTCCCTAACTTGATCAGTGAAATTCCTACATCAGAGAGGCAAAGACGACTTACCGAAGGAATTTGATCCTCAAGTTCCTCGCACGATCCTTTATCTGCACCTGGTTCCGATTTTCGAATCGGGCTTCTCCCTCCTTTTCAGGTTGTATCGTGTTCTCGTCTTCGATCTTCGTCCACGAAACACCATGCTCTTCGATCAAACGTATCAACCGACGATCTTCGGCATCCGTCCAGCCTCTGGTTCTCCGCTTAGGTGCCGGTGGTGGCATCGCCTGGCGGTTCTCTGTCTGCGGCGATAGGGCCTGCGTACGAACCGGGGAACCAGCAGCTTCTCGCGACTCGGACCGACGTCGACTTTGGGCCTCACTCTCGGCTCCTTCGTGGCCGCTGTCTACCCTTGCGCGCTTGCTTTGTCGCGCCTGCACGGGCTTTTCGGCACGCCGGCGTTCCGTAGCCACCTCACGGTTATCAGTATCATATTCCTCTTCGCTCTCAGAGACAGTCTCGGATTCACGTCTGCGCTTGGGGGGCCGTCCACGAGGTCTCCGTTCCACACTTCGCGGTCCCGACGTCTGACTGACTGGAGAAACGCGCACTGCATTTTCCTGGCGGTCGATAAACGCAGATCGTGAGCTATTAGAAGCTTCTGGAGTGGCCCGCGACCGAGCATTCGCCATGTTCCAGACATCCCTGCTTGAGGGGAGCGAAAGGTTGTTTTCCATTCTAGGAGGCGCTAATGTAGACGCAGGCTCCCTGCGGGGTCTTGGGACGGACCGATTCATCGGAGGACTATGGGACCTCTCTGGATGGTTTTCAGTATGCTGACTTATATCAAGTGGTTCGTCGTATACGAAAACTTCTGTGTCTTCGGCCGTTGTGTGTTCATCGTTCAGCCGGGTCTCTTCATGTGTCTCATCGCCATCGTTCAGCTGCGTATCCTCATAAGCCTCAGTGTCATCGTTAACCTGAATTTCATCATTTACGAGCGTGCGAGAAGCGTCAAAGGTAGTCTGGACCTCATTTGGCGGTGCTGGGTCCGTTGACCTCTGCCGAGGTGGGATTGCAGAAACAGTCTGTCGCCTGTCGGCTGCAGACTGATCTGCCACTTCGGAAGCACTGGGTCTGATTGAGTCAGATTGCCGGCGAGAGGTTGATGCATCAATTGAATGACGAAGCTCTTGCCTTCGTTGACCCATCCGGGCGATAGCGTCTCGGTTATTGAAGGGGCTTTCCTCGGTTAGCCCATGGACAAAGGGTTAATGCTGAGGATACTCACTATTTGCGAAACTTCTTCTGAGGCCTGGTCTCGGAGGGCTCCTCTGTTGCAGTTGCAGCAGGAGGCAAAACATCGCGGGCGACTGAAGCGACTCTGGGCGCGCTTCTCTCCGGTTCAATGATCTCTGGGACTGTGTGAAACGGGTTCTGGGCAGACATGGGTGTTGCAACTTTGTGTGCATTTGTAGAAGCGGTCGCAGGAGGCCTTGCTTGCGACGAAGGCTGCGAGACCTGTGGCGTACCTGAAGTAGTAGCAGACCTCCGTGCTGTATTCTCAGTCGTGGATAGACGATTGGAAAAGCGCCCACTGGGAGTGGACAGTGCCGGAGTGCCGCTGATACTTTGACGTGATTTTGCAATGGTGTAAAAGCTCTCATGCATGTCCATAGAGCTTATTTGGCCTTTCAAGTCATTGTTCACTTCGTCACACCTCTTGCGAATCCATCGGGCGGCCTGCATGACGAACTTCTGCCAGCGGTAGTCTCCCTTGAGTGCTCCGATAGTACCGTCGACTTCCAGAACCACACGCATATCGTCATAACGGCTTTCAACGTCACTCCGATATTTCGATGGAAGTTCCCCTCTGGCATCAGTGAACCTTTCCAGATTGAAGCCGCGGAATCGACGCTCGGCATCGCTGGGTGCATCCTTGGGCGTGTCCAAGAAGAAGCCAGTTGTCAATATCTCAACTGGGTCAAAGTCATCATCATTCTGATGTGCTTCAAGCTGCATTATCAAGTACTGCGTGCGAATCTCTAGAGCCAGCTCCCAAGTCTCCTTCTCCAGATAGCTTTCATCGACAGACTTCTGAGCACCCCTTTCCACCAGGTTAGCCATGAAAGGCGAAGGAAACTCATCATGGATGGTGGAAATTGCCTGCTCTGGAGAGGACTCAGTACCAGGTGTAGCCAGGAGCATTCGCAACGCAAAACGAGCACAATTGGCTTTGTAGAGAACAGGCTTCGAGTAGTCTTCAAGCCCACTGACTTCCACAATGTACTCCACATCAAGATAAGTGAGAGGGCTCTTTTGACCAAAGTACTTCGCTTCATGGTTCAAATTAGTCACAGACCGCTGCAGCCGTCTGCTCTGAGTGCCAGCAGGATCCCTCAGCTGCTTCGCCCTGCTCATGATGCTGACGGGATCTGCCGACCCAGGAACGAGGAAATCAAGTACATTGGCAGCTGCACGCTCCAAGTCCGGAAGTGCCTCGACCATGATATCCACATCCAGATCATGATCCGGTTCTGAGGGCAGAATAGTTGTACCGGAGATGTTGTGTTCATCTTCCGGAGTCTCAGGAATGACCTGGTTCCCATACTGGGGGGCAGTCTTCTGAGCCGACCTTTGCGGAGATTCTTCAACCACAACATCTAAGCCTGCACCAAGAACAATGAGAGGCGCCCCAAAGAACCACTAACAGTACTAAGAAAGAGACTCACCCTTCCCGCTCACTGGTCCCTTACTTTGGGTGCCCCACCTTCTCCGACCAGCACCTGCCGACGGCTCGCCATCATCACCACCATCACGAGGAGCCTGTTGAGTCCTAAGTTCCTCTAACTCTCGACTCTGACTTCTGGTGACACGTCTCCGCATAGGACTCCCCGTCCAAACCTTTTGACCTTTCGACAAACCAGTCGAGGATTGTGCGACCTCTCGTGACTGAACCAGCCGCGCCATTCTGCCACCACAACAAACGCGTCCGAGAAGAATGGAAGGCGGTCAGCCGTCCGACCACGTGGAAACGGGGAGCTATATACTCCAGAAGATCTGCTATCGATGCTAGAAGCCTCAGATTTATGCAGATTGATAATTAAGACTGTTGTTTTGATGCCGCAGTGATGTTGTCGATGGCTGGGACGGCGTAGAGGAAGGAAAAGGAGACTGGTGGTGTGTTGGGGTACTAGCGGTCAAACCCTTGGGGTAAGTTGCTTACTAAGTGCTCAATAAGCCAATGCACTAGACTAAGACAAGAAGGCGGTGTCAAGAAAACCTTTAACCCTACATAAACCCTATCCCAAACCCTAGAAACCCTAGGTCTTCAAACCTTGAACCCTTAAACCCTACAGTTTGCCATGTATTATCGGACCATGTATTAGAGGACCATTCGACCACTACCACTATTTGAGGATCCTTACTATCGAAATATAATCATTTGAAGGACATGAACCTGTAACTAGAATTCTCCAAACCATGTTACTGATATGTACGCACGTACGTCCGCTTCCAATTACCATTAGGGTTTAGAAATAAAGAATCATCTACATACATTACAGCTTAGCCCATAAAGCCCGCTGGGCCGAATCTATGACTAGTGTTTATTCTGCAGAGGTGCTAGGCCGCTTATTGAATATGGATTCTCGATTTCATATGAACATGTGCTAGTGCGCCCATTGAACTCAAGGGTCTATTACAGATTGCTAGACATATCTGGTAGAAAAATAGGGCTGAAGCTGTGGTGCAGAGGATAGATAATATGGTCCTTGATGGGCAGTCATCTTGTATGATTTTGCTCAGACCTTGGGTGTATTTCTACTCTTTTCGACGCATAGTACAATATTGACCTGATCGACTGGGCAAGTATATGTTTCGATTGAGGGTGACTGATTACATGGAAAGTTGGGGATGATCACGTTGACTGTGTAATACATGCTAGTTAATGAGGTTAGTCCGAGGATCGAAAGTACAAAACCAGGATTCGCATTGATACACTACAGAATACGCATCACTGTAAATGATAAATCTAGTTATACTGTATCAAGAATTTTATTAAAACATCGCTAAGGCGCGAATATTACAAGCACCATATCGCATAATCTATACTGAAGAGAACCACCCGTTAAGTAAGACATAAGCGGGAGCAAATGAAGGTCTAATAGACAGCTTCAAACAAGTAGATGACACCAAATACCAAGAATGCCGTGGCACCGCCCAGCGTTACTGTGACACGTTAGCAACAGCCGTGAAACTAGGAAGGAGGAGTACATACCGACGCGCATGCTGACCTTGCCAGCAATAGCACTGCCGCCAATAACGGCGGCCGCAGTGCAAAGTCCGTGTCCGGAGATAGCACCGATGGTCACCCACCAGTAATCTTGACCGGCAGCCATAGCAATGGTTGCAATCTGACTGCGGTCACCCCACTCGCCCAGGAAGGTCATAACGAAAGTCTGAACCCAGGCGGGACTGAGAAGAAGCGAGAAAAGGTTGTTCATTCCGACAAGAACATCATTCCAGCGGTTGCCAGAGGGAGAGGAAGCACGAGAGGACGACGATGAAACACTCTCGGGAGGTGAGGGAAGACGGTTGCCGGAGGAGCGAGACTTGCGACGACCGACGCGGCCAGCTTCCAACGAGTGAGGAGTCACGGACGAACGGCGACGGTTCATACGCAGCTGCTCTTGCTCCTTTTCTTCCAGTTCCATTTCGACCTCCTTCATCTCCTCTCCAACACCCTCGTCGGGCGACATTTCGCGACCCTCCTTGAGCATCTTCAAACCGAACACGAAGAACAGAACGGCAGCCAACAATTTTGTCAGAGACTTGGGGATCAGAGTAGGTACCGCGTGCCCTAGGACAGCCGAGAGAACAGTCATGAAGATGAGGGCGCTGAAAGCGGCGGAGAAGACAAGCAAACGCGGATGACGCATAGCCATGAGCGCGGCAACCAGGAAAGTCTTGTCACCAATCTCAGATACGATGATCATGGTAAAGGAAAACAACAACGAATGGAATGCAGTTCCCTCCTCCAGCGGCTCGCCAGGCTTGTTGCCCGCGGAGCCATGCTTATCGAGACCGAGAGGGCTATCTTTGACTGTGGCCGGGGACTTGGGAGGTGGGATGTCGTGGGGCTTTTCTGGCAAATCTGCGGGTTTCTAGAATACATCAGCAAGCGGTACCAAATTTCATGATTAAGGTCGCAAATACCTCCAATTTTCCGAGGGTCGAGTCGGTGCTCGATCCCTTGGTGTCCTTGACATCAGCATCCTGACCCGCCACTGGCAGCTTTTGCTGCTCACTGTGCGGCAATGGAGGAGCCTCCTTCGGACTGCCCGGCGTCTTTTCATTGTTGTATGGTTCCCTCAACTTCTCAGACACCCCACCTTCTGTCCCACGAGTACCCTCCTTGGGGCCCGTCCGATGAGGATCATCCATCACGCCGTCGTTCGAGTAAGGAATTGGGTTGCCATCAGGACCCAATTGTTCCGCTTTAGGATCAATCTTTGCCTTCTCCTCCGACAAGGTGGTAGAGCCCGTCTTCTTGCGATCCCGCTCTGCACTTGTTTCCACCCAGGGACCCGCATGTGGCCGACCATCCTTGCCGTCGATCGGGGCGTCCAGCGTCCCTTTGGCGGGCTTGGGTGCGGCGGCGGCATCTATTTCGACGGCATTTGGAGTCGAAGCTTCCCGCTCCGCGAGAAGAGCGTCCTTTGCACCGTTGTTGGCCGAGCTCGGATCCGTGAGCGCGACCGAAAGCGCAGGAAGGAGGAAGAGGAGAAGCGACGAAGAATGAATCTTCATGGTGTAGGGCTGTTATCGTCACAGTTGGATCAATTGCAAAGAGATTAAAACGTAGTGTAGTTGATACAAGCAGTAGTCCACATGAACGGATAAGAAAAGGCCGTAAATGAAGGATTGACGAGAAAGTTTGGTTCCAGGTACGTCGATCGGTGTAAATCAAGCCACGACAGCGATCCGAGCGGACTCAAGACACGCGATCGGGAACAATGGCGAGACGATAAACGAAGCGCGGAGTCAACGAAGTGGACTGGTCATATGAAGCAAACAAGTAGAATACATGCAAGAAGGAAAAGGAGCGAAGCCGATAAGCGGTCGTCGAGGGTGGCAGGAAGCAGGAATCTGGGAGGTTTCTTTTCCGGCCGCAAAGGGGCAATGCCGCCTCCACATCACGTGGTGCCCGCTTGCGGTGGTCTGGTTCTTTCCCCATTTACTTAAGTAGTACCCTAATAATTCCTCCTCCACTCCTTGGCCAGCCATCGTCTGGCTTGCAACTGGCTGCAATCGATGCAACAATTTCTTGTTTCAGCTGTCTCATTATGTACAATTTGGGGTAATTCTGGGGTCCAGCTGAGCCTTCTTCCACTGTAGACTTACAGCTGAATGCTGACCCCTCAACCCAATCGGGCCCGGTTGAATTAAGATGACTGGCGGGCCGCCGACTAACTAGTACTTAAACTAACTATTAATATCCCCCCTCTTTGATAGTCGTGCCTGGCTGCCTCTCCATCTACATCTCTCCGGGCGCTGCACACCTATTAGTACCACCCACAAAACACTTGGCCTGGAATCTATCTACGTACTCAGCTTCCAGTGCAATCAAGTGCGTACTTGATGAAATGAGGATCTTAATCTTATTATCCTACCGAATGTGAATCATGGCAGATGTTCTTATCGCTGCTGTGCAACACCAATAGGCCATTCACTAGCAATGCATTCAGTGTTATCAGCCTTCTCTCACTACAAACTCATCGTATATGAAATTTTCACTATGGCACGTCCCTGTCACCGCTCATGACGTCAGCCTCATCTTTGTTGACTCTCCTGGGTATCGGCTTCGAAGATGTCGGACTCAACAACAATCAACAACACGCTCGCCAGCCCAATCGGGTCCCTTGCCTCCAGTCCCGGCAGCACCCTTGCTTCCCAATCCGACTCTCCTCGAGCGCGGCTGAGCGCCAGCAGTGGCTTTGGCTTCGCCTCCGCCTCCGCCTGGTCTGAGATCTATCAGAATGAGACTGAGAAAGCTCCGGCCACGCAGTTGCTGAGTATTAGCGATAATTCCGATCATCTCGAAATTGATCCCTCCAGCCTTGAGGAGCACAGCCACTTCAGTGACGACAGCACCGACAGCATGGAAGACTACGATATCGTCAGTGGAGCCAGCTCCCCAAGCTCCCTGTCCTTCCAAATCGTTGAGCCAGAACGCGAAAAGCTCTACCCGATCGCCATCACCGTTTTCGTGGGAAGTCCACGTGCTCAGAAAGATCGACCCGTCCATCTCAGCTGCATTGTACTCACATCCGATTGGCGCCAGGACTTTTTCCCGAACTCGTGCAAAAACAAAGCCGACAAGGCAGTGAAATGCAAAGACATCATAAAGTACAACGAGCAGTGCCTTCCCCAGATCGCCAAATTTGCCTGCGCAATTTGCTCTGAGCCAACTCCCGCCCGCAAATTCGTGCACCAACCTATCATGTTCACACGGACTAGCAAATCCGGACTGGAGGATGGACCCCGACGCCGGCTGATCATGCGATTGGGACAGCTTGTTCATAGTCGGTGGAGGTTCCCTGATATGAATGCCACGCTTGGGGGATCAGCGGAAGCTCAGGTCTTTGAGGTCGCCATTCCGGTGTGCAAGAGGGCAGGCTGCGGCATAGCAGGTCGGACGTCTGCACACCAACTCATCCGAGCCATCGTTACGTCCAATGCGGACTTGGATCCCTCAGCGCTGGACCTCGACATGGTTATTCCATTGGCTGATTTAGGAGCCGGTATAGGAGATTGGACACCCGACAGAGCAGAAATTTTGGTGACGAAGCTCGGGCCGGACTGTGTGCCTCTGGAGGTACGCAGCCATGTCGAAGCATGATGGCTGGTCAGGCCGGGAGTTTGGTTATGATCTACGACTTCAACGCGGTAGAGAGACGGCGTATGAGGAAGATGGATTTTTCACAGAGGAATATCTTATCATGAAATTATGACTTGGGGAAACTTGGTGGATTTACGACTGACGAACGGCCGGAAATGACTGACGCGACAGATAGAAGTCGATCTAGAACAGACCAAAAAATAACGGAGTGTCATGCCCATCAATCCCGCAGTAGAAAGTATCCACCATAGCCTGCCAAGTAGGAATACGTACTCACAACCTAAACTCCAGCATCCAATGTATCAAGTATGGCCTGACTCGGCAACCCACCCACACACGTCCACGTAGACTACATCAGATAAGCCCGATGTCTAGGCAACCACCAACGCAAACCGTACCCACATCTCTCATATTAAGCATACACAACACTACTAGAAAGCTAGACCATTCGACAAAGGATCTGTCATCCGCCCCAATAATACATTGATCGTACGAATCTCACGGTAAAACCCACTGCACCGCGGCAAATCATCCCTTAATCTACCACCCGCAGTGTGAGTGGATCCCCACCTCAAACAAGCTTAAGTATTAGACTAGACTAGCCACCGTGAGACGAAACACCAGAACACTTCTAGACCGGGAGATGGGCTCCACCCCCTGTTTGAGATGAAGTGATGGACGTATATTGTGGGTGTTATATAGGTGGATGGGGGTGGGTATATAAGGACGACATCGTCACCACAGTACTTACCGACAAACCAGCCCAGAAACTTCAATATCCAAGAAACAAAGAGAAAGAAAGAAGAAAGCATAAGAATCACCATGCAGACTAAATCCCTCCTCACCATCCTCCTCAGCGCCGCTCTGGCTGCTGCTACCGTTGACCCGGCTACCTCGAACACTAAGGGCAAGTGTCCTGGTACTTATAACTGCTCTGGTGTGTATCCCATCCTTGCTCCATAATAGCAATCCCTACTATAAGCATTAGAGAATAATAATACTAATGACGATGATAGCTGCCAAAACCTCCACCGCCATCCAGGCAGCTGAGTGCTCCCACAACACTCGTACTTCCGGTACGTCCACACCTCAATCCCGAAAGATGAAATGATGTACTGATATATGCAATGTAGGAACCCAAACCTTCGCCGTCTTCGTCACCGACCACGAGTATGATTCCTCCTACGGCGCTCCCTACGGTACCTGCAGCGCGTACACTTGCACCGCGCCGACGGATAGCGAGATGACGGATGATGATGATGATTGCTGGACTTTCTTTTGGAAGTAAGCCTTCCTACATTCTTTGCCCCCGCCACCGTCGGGTATGTTTTATGATGGGTGAATGCTAATTGATTGTTCTATAGCGACAACGGCGAGTCCTCCGGCGTTGGCACCGGATGTATTCGCAGCCCTGACGACGGTACTTGTGGATGTGAGGACTCTGATGGAACTTTTGTCTATGGCGGAACGGATTGCTCTTAGGTTTCCCTTCCTGGGAGTATTTGATCGAGTGTTGAGTAGAAGGGTTGCTACTACTGGGTAGTATGTATATTGATTTGCAGGTTCTGAATCATTGCATTATTTGAATAATGGTATATCCCGGAAGTGATAAATCGTATAATAGCATAACAGATACAGTACATGATCATGGCATCCATGTTCATAATATAAACATACCAAAAACACCTGTTCTACTCCACTACTTCCAAGTCTCAATCATGCCCTCCCCGACCCATCCAACTCCGACGGCCCCCTAACCATCGCCTCATACATCACTTGTCCCTGCCCCTGTCCCTGACCATGCGGCCCCTGATACACCCCTCCACCCCCAAACTGCTGCTGCATCTGCATATGCTGCGGCGACTGCTGCCCATCCCACCCCCACATCCCCTGTCCCAACGGCGGCGACAACTCCGACCCAACAGTCGCACCACTAAACTCACTCTGCGGCACCAACGCACTTCCTCCATCCATCTCACTCTTCCTTTGCCCTCCTCCACCACCACCGGCAGCAGAATTACTACCCCCTTTCCCAGTACTCTGCCCCGGACTCAACAGCGCCGCCCACCTCGCCGTGCGCTCATGTCTTCCATCCTGACTGGACATCCACTGCCGATAGACACGATTTCTTCCGAGGAGGAAGAACAACGCGCCGAGAATAGCGATGAAGGCTACGGAGCCGATGACGATGCCGACGATGGCGCCGGTGCTGAGCGCTGGTGAGCTGGTGGAGGGGGTGTTGGAGGGGAATGAGGTTGAGGTTGATGTGGATGTCGGGGCGATGGTGCCTTCGGCAGGGATGGACTGGCCTGGGACGAGCATGTAGGGGTAGGTCTTTGCGCGGTTGTATTGCGATTCGAAGGTCATGGTGGAGTTCTGAAGGGTTAGCTTGGATGTGGGTGGGGGAGGGAAGGGGGAGGGAAGTACTGGGTTTATGACGCCGACCATGCCGTTTCCGATGCAGGAGTCTATGGCGGTGCAGTAGAAGAATGTGGGCTGGTGGTTGTTAGTGATGCTTTGGATGGGTTGAGGATAGGGTAGGGTGGGTGGAGGGATGGAGGGATGTACCTCGGTGTCGTTGACGACTAGGGACCAAGTTGGGGGCTGTGTTATGAGATTAGTATGAGTATGAGGGTAACGGAAAGAGTATGGAGTAGGCATACCGGTCCAACCAACTGACCATCCTCCTCATTGAAACTATTGAATATCCCGGAGTAGAAGATCTCCCCGCTGGCAGGCACACACGGCGCAAGATAGTCTGCTTTCACGACGGAGTGATTTCTCGGATAGAACTCGAAGACGATAACATCGCCGACTGCAGCAGAGACATTATGAGGCGAGTATTGATGAGGATCTTCCTTTGAGCCGACCTGAACAGTATGGGTTGCTATCGCGGTGGTTGTGGTGGATGTTGCTCTGGTGGTGGAAGTGGTTGAGATGTCGGTCGTGCTGCTGTGAGATTGGGCTGATGCAGTAGTAGCGAGCAGTATCGCCATGAGGGCGAGCAGATGGGCTGCCATTAAGATGGATAGCATTTCATCAGGTATGTGCGCGATATACTCAAAATTCAAGACGGGGAAGTCGTTCCGGAGGACAGGCAAAAAAGGTCGGCGGGCGGCCACAAAGAAAGGGAAAGAAAAGACGGTTGCCCCTGGATGAGATAACAAAGAAACTACGATGAGATGGCCGGAAAAGATGATGCATAGGCAGATGCCCGAATGCGCAGAAGAGGGGCTGAGGATTATTTTTCCTCCTACGAGACGCATGGATCATGGATGGACAGCCTCTTCCCAACTCACACCTCGTGTTCCCGCATCCATCAGCCCGTAGCGCTGACTGGTTAGGGCTGGACACGATGATCTTGGCAGCAGCGGTCTGTCCTGTCACCAGGCGGGATGGATTTGTGTGTAGCTTCAATATGTTTTACATTCATTTGACAGGTCTCGGAGGTAAGGATAGGGGTCTCTGTAGTATCTGTATCTAGACTGAAGTGCTGTTCGACACTTGGATCAGTGTGCGTCGGTATGTGGTCAACGGCGGATTCCCAGTGTCTTTTACTCGTAGAATCAAATGCAACAATTGGCTGCCATCCTCATCGCAGCTGTCCTCCGCTGTCGGAACCTTGACCGTTGCGACTCTTCCACCAGAACTGGTCGTAATGTTCAGATCGGCTACGTTCCCCTCCGTGCTCGCGTTATCCGTGGACGGCTCCAGATACTGGAACCATTCGAAGGACATGCCATCTCCATCGGGATCATATGTCTCTCCCGCATCCAAGGTGATTTTCGCCCCCACGGACGCATTGACAGTGACAGGATGCAACCCACCCGCCCCGTTTACAACCACCACCGGGTGGTGGTTCCAGGTCTTGTTCGTCTCCGAAGCAGACAATGTCCACTGCATGCGTGCCGCAAAGTCATTCTGGTATGCCTCTCTCCAACGCCAAATTGTCGCTTTGTTGGAGGTGAAAGTTTCGTTGTTCATGCCGATGACCTGGTCCTCCGTGTCGCTGTAGTGATTGTCCCAGTCACATGTTTCACACACTGGCGCGTACCGTCCGCCCCAACTGCCATAGTTCGGGTGTTCGGGATCACCCAGGCCGTTCTGGATCATGTACAGCAGCGTAGGGCTATCTCCCTCCATGATATATTCGAAGTCGGGATACTTGGCTCCGAGTGGTCCGATCCGGATGTTCTTCTTCAGCCATTCGTGCGTCACATACGACGAATCTGGGCCGCCTTTATCGAAATCATAGTTGATCTCGCCTGAAATTCCCGGCCAGGTAGCACCTCCATACTGATTAAAGCCGTGCATGGAGTTTATAAAGCGGATTTCGGGCCAGTTGTTGCGAATCCAAGCCCCAGTGTCGTCTTGATCGGAGATGGTGTAGACCCATAGGTTTGAGCGGAATGATGCTGCCTCAGAGGGAGAATATGTGAGGGATATGTTCAGGAGAGCCTGTGCAAGGACGTTGTCGCCGCCCCAAGACAAGACCCAGAGGGGCTGACCAGAGGTTGTGTTGGTGAGACTCTTGATGAGGAGTTCAGCGCCGGGGCTATAGGTGTTGTTGTCCTTGAGAGCCTCCATGCCATATACCTTCATCGGGTTAGTGATGGTCAATGTCTGTAGGGTAAGCAGGGACTTACCGGAAGACCATGAGACACAATCCCTCTCATGTAATCTGCCGAAGGATACGGCGAATCCTCAGGAGCATGTTTATTCAAGTTATCCACCACCTTCGCGTAGGCATCAATAGTCTCCAGCATCAAGTCCGGGCGTACTTGGTCCTTCAGCCATGTGGAAGTGACGGCCACAAGCCCTTCATTTTGGAACTGATTACTGTAGACGAGATAGCGAACAAGCGACTCGGAGTCATCGGGCTCATTGGCAATATCCGACAAAATAAAGATGCGCGGCTTGGTCGGATAGGAGAGAAGAGATCCGTTCGAGCTGGCTCGGCCATGAGGGAGAGCCAGAGTCAGCCCTGCGCCGAGGAGAGGTAGACACCCAAGGAACCTCATTTTGAGGATTAATGCGACTGAAGAGAGACTTGTCTGATTCTACTCACAACAACTGGGACAACAGACATATTTATACCCTCTGCTGGACGCAAACGACTTGTTTGTCCCCGGTGGAAATTCGGATGATGGCCATGATGCAATGCCGCGATGACACCCGACCAGAGCCATATTGACTACTGATCGGCATGCGGGGATGCGGATGCCTGCATTGTGGGGGTAAAACTCGCCGAAGAACCCTCCCCAGACATCAGAATTGGAGATGCTGGACGAGAGAATCGCTGAAGAATATCCACTCCACCTCCCGCTTCGGCGTGGTTAAGCATTCCGCTTTCAGTCAGTCGTGGCTCGAACTTCCCGATCGGGAATATCAGAGGTGCTCCTCCATAAATTTATCCTGAATAGCCGGTTTGCCTGGATTTTGCGAGTCAACTATTGCACGATTCTTGCAAGATCAGGGTGAAATAGTGGGGAGTGTGAGGGGTCGCTGCCAACTTATGACCTGGGCTGCATTAACTGTTCCCCTTCCGTTGTTTCCGGGGATATTACCTGAGAGAGAAGACTCATTAGCCAGCTACGCCCATGTTGGCAGTGGGTTCAAGGTGGATCCGTGTGCTTCGCTGAACAGTTTTTATTTGTTTGCCTGATGGCCCGCTTTGACTGAATTATTGAGCACAGGATATGCTCGGATAATAACCTACAATTTGCTACTGTGCACCAACTTGAGGGCTTTGGTATTTTGGTAATCTATGCTTTGAGTGTGTTCACATTAGCTATTAGGCCCTTTGCACTACTACTGACTGGTACATTTTGTGCTAAATATCAATGACAGACTGATACTGCTGACCTGTTTAAATTCCACACTCATAAGGGCAAGCTCACAACACTCGCTTTCGAGGACAGCACATCATTCCCCCAATCCTCCTCTTCCAGATCTTCGTCATCCAGCGCCACCGGATTCAGCGCCAGCGATCCCCGAGGCACAAACGAGGAAACAAGTACCAGAAAGGATATCACACTGAACTGCACGCTGGCCACATTTCGAATAGCCAGATGGATGTCACCCCCTCCAACTGGACCCCCGGTCTCCACATACACGCGGTCAATATAACTTCCCAGCAGCGGAGAGGTAATAGCGTACAGGACGATATAGGTAGAGTACAAGAATGCCATGACAGCCCCGAGCGCAGAAACATTTTTCGACGTTGACTCCATTCGTGTCAGCGTCGCCTGGATATACGCCGCCAGCGAGACATCACCAGCCGCCCAGCCGAAAGAAACAGGAACAAAGCTGAGGGCAGCGAACAAAGCATCCCGGACCCGATGCACTGGGGGTTTCCAGAATGGCAGATACCATGTGATGAGAAGCATGAGCGCATCGACTCGCAGCCAAGGCATGGGGGTGCGCACGCGGTTATTGAGGAAGACAACAAACAATGCGCCAAACAGTTCTCCCAAGTTGGACCCTCCCACCATAATCTGCGACCATGCGGCGTTGCCTAAATAGCGACGCGCAAGTGCTGGCATAACTGCGCTCTCGAGGTAGCGATGAGCATACAGAGCAATCGAATACCCGGGCAGCAACCAGATAAACTTGCGTGTGGTGAAGATGATCCGCGCACCCACCCAGATGGATTCTAGAAAGAGTTTAATTCCCCTCAACGCTGCTCGAATATATGTTGTCTGGTCAGGGGTTTCTGCCGCTTTGTGAGCTTTGAACACATCATCTCCAAGGAAGGACCAGGCAATAGCCGCGAGTGTAAAACAGATGGGTGTCACGAGGAAAGAATAGTTATTCCCCAGATGAGGAATCAGGGCCAGTGCAGTGCAGAATGCGCCAGCGGTACCTGATACCTCGTAGAAAATGTGAACCAGAGCATCCAGGCGTCGTAGTCTCTTTAGGTTTCCGCCAACAATGTCCCTGGGAATGATGCGGCGGATGAGCTCGACCATTCCATAGCTAAAACCACTCACGCAGTAAATAGGGATGATACTGTCTGTGTTGTAACGACCATAGTAATGAAAGTCATTTTGTGGGTGGTGAGGACGGAGGGCAGCCGGGACAAAGGTGCCACCAGTACAAGCATCTAGGATTAGAAGGATGGCGCTGAAGATACCAAAGGCCAACATGGCTGCCATTAGAATCAACCGAGCTGGATAGCGACGAATCAGGGGAGCCATGAGTATCGATCCAACACACTGGCAGGCTTGATTAAGGCCGACCATGAGCCCGACGCGTTGGAAGGTCTTGGGAGGCATGTTGGCGCGAAGGGCATCATAATCGTAGCGGTTGGTGGCGAGCGTGATAATTGATCCATTGAACGCCTCCAGGCCAAACTTGTAAAGTATGATGCCTAGAATGTAGCAGGCAGCTTCGCGCCGTTCTTTGGGCGTGAAGTCATTCCAGCCGTTGCGAACGCTTTTGAACAACCCCATTGTGTGAGATGATCTGCTGCCACAAATCTGCGAAAGAGATGAGAACTAAAGAGCGTAGAGTCACCACAATATATGGAGCTAGACAGGATATTGTGCGAAGTGAACTGCGATGTTTACATGAATCTGCACGGTTAGGGAATAAACAGCAGAGACGCTCTGGCGTGCCATGTTGATGAAGTTCAGCTGGGAATTCCTACATAGGGACTAAGTGCACTACGTTGTGGGCGGTAGAGTTGGAGTGAATTGATCCCAAGATTGACTCTGGAATGAGGGTAGTTTGGTGTGAAGGAGCCATGACAAGTGAATGGAAGCTGAAGCTGACAGAGAGATTCTAGAACTAATGAGCGTGAGGCAGCGAGGCCAGCACATGCATACACATAGCACACGTCTATCAAGGCCTGAGGATCTGTCATATCGTCTGCTCTCTGCTGTGGCAGAAAACGTCTGTCGTAATACCTGACTGATGTACTGCAACAGACAGATGCATTGTCATTATGTATCCGGCTGCTACCCACCAGGCTGCACAGCTTATTAGACTTGACTTATAGTTGTACCCTAGTCCGGGAGCCAGTCCGGGGCACTTGGAATGATTGGACCGCCATTGCGGGCGATTGTCCAGCTGAACAGCGACCGAGATCCACCTGGATGTCTTGCGCTGGACGTTGAAGAGAAAGACAAAGTGCATCCGATGACGACATTTTGGTCATCCTGTGCGCTCGGAGCGCTTTCTGAAGCCAATCTTCGTATCGCCTTTTGGGCCTCACCTCCCCTGATCGTCTCTACAATGCTGGTTGCCCGGTCTGGTTTGCAACACCAAGCATAGGCTTACCCCACCCCACAAAGTCCGCTGCAGCATTAACCTGGTTGCTGCTTGCAAGCCAGTTGTCGTTAATTCCAGAATGACATATCAGATGATGAGCTACTGGTGCGCCCGATGATCCCTTGGAGGATCGCCTCGTGAAATAGACCCCACCAAAGTAACAAAGCAACAAACGGTCAGTCAATGGGTGAAACACGCAAGAAGCCGGCGAAAGAAAGCCACAAAATGCAGCCAAAAAAGGGGGAAGTATGGGTGAAGAAGCAGAAAGAGTATTCTAATCTCACGGAGAATTGGAATTGGGTATTTGAGTCACCACGTCGTGCTGGTGCTTGCTTCTTGCATGGTGTCGACATACAGACGGACCGTCTCGTGCTTGGCAGATAGGCAGGCCACGTGCATCCCCGACCGGATGTGTTTCGCCTCCCCCAAAAGATGGGAAAAGATGGGAATGCTCAGCCATCGCCCATTTTCACGGTTCCGGAGGGGTTGAAAGTTTCCTAGTCCGACCACTCCCAGGTAGCTTATTTCGTCACCGTTGTACATTTTACGAAAAATTAAGAATTAGCTATCTACCTTGGTGAAGCGGCCTGAGTCAAACAGCTATGCGCTGGTGGTTTGGAGACCTCCCATGTGAGCCCATGCATGTCTGGCTTGTCGATCGGGGAGTTTAAATCTGGTCAATCTCGAGCCAGCGAGAAATGCCATTGGAGACGCCAGAGCTACTTGTCTTACCGCGGGTGTGGGGTGGAGCAGTGAGGTACCCATCCGGTACCGCTGCGGTGCAATCAAAGAATGACATTGAATTGACACCCCGTTCTCAGCTTAGCAGCAACCACAACTGACTTGGACTAACCTAAAAAAAAAAAATCTAAAGCTAAAATGGAGGGTGGTTCTTATCGGGAATCGCCTTCGAATCTCAGTCTTTCCCCCCCAAATCCTAAAAATCTCAAAACGCCATCGTCCACTCAGCCGCGTGATCCCCAGCCCACCATCCTCACCGACTGATTCGACGCTTTGTTTCTTTTTATCATTCATATCATTGTTTTGTTTGGGCTTTCTCCTTATTTTTTATTCCTTTCTTTTTTTTCCCCTAGCTCTTCGTGCATCCTGAGGATATATATGGCTTCCTTCCTCCCCCACCATGTTGCCTGCTGAGCCTGCGCAGTTGCCGGTTCTGCTTTTCCGTCGCAGGCCGTGATAAGTGCTTAGTCGCTTCGAGGTGTGGAGATACTATATCATTCTCGGGTTGCTTGACCATCGTTCGATCAACAAGTGGCCTGTTCAGTCTTTCTGCTCTCTTTGTGTGTACATTATCTCATCTGGTGGTTAGAAACCCACAACGCATGTTCGTGCTACCCTTAAAATCTCCTTTCTTTCACCCTCCCAAGCTATCGTTAGGGCCCTAGCTAACTAGATGGCTACTTGCAGATACTAGCTTCGATTCACCAATTGCGGGACCCCTTCCCCGAACCGTTGCGTTGATTCCACTTCAATGGCGACCGGAGAAGAGCCTGCCACGGCGTCCCCCGCACAGCAGTCGAACCCAGCTAGAAGCTGGTGGAAACGGCTGCGGGGGTCTAATGCCCCTGAAACGCCCGCCATCACCACGAGTCAAAGTCCTTATCGCCCGAAAAGGACTCTGGGTATCCTAAGTGACAAGGAGACGGATGAAGTGCCTGGTACGTTGCAGCTGTAGGAACTATCATTTGCCTTTTGAGTATGATCTTGCTGACATTCACTTGCGAATTTAGGGACCGTTCTTCTACTCTCGTCAAATCGTAATGAGCCTCTCGGTTTGGAACATCAACCGCATCGCGAATCGCATTCGTCGCTGCCATCGCCTTACCCACCGTCCCGATCCTCTTCTCGTGCATCTCGTGCCTCTCGTGCGCGCCAGCAGAAAAAGAAAACCCCGGATGGCAACATAGTGTTGGATCCTCAACCCGATGACTCCATGAACGATCCTCTCAATTGGCCTGTATGGCGACGAGATGCAGCTCTGGTGTCATTGGGGTTCTATTGCCTGATGGGAGGCGGTATGACCCCAATCTTGGCCGCCGGTTTCAGTCAGGTAGCTGCCGCCTATGATGTGACCACCCAGAAGGTCGCATATACAACGGGGTTGTACATGCTGGGTCTTGGGATTGGGTCCGTGATCATGTCTCCTACGGCTATTCTGTATGGAAAGCGGCCGGTATACCTTCTCGGAGCGACCCTTTTCATTATTTCGGCGGTCTGGTGTGCACTGTCACCCAACTACCCCAGCTTGGTCATCGCTCGTATCTTCCAGGGCATTGCAGTAAGCCCGGTCGAGTGCCTCCCCTCTGCCACTATTGCCGAGATCTACTTCCTGCACGAACGGGCGTACCGGGTCGGTATATATACTCTTCTGCTTCTAGGAGGCAAGAACCTGATTCCCCTAGTGAGTGCAGCTATCATCGGGAGTCTGGGGTGGCGCTGGGTTTTCTGGATTGTTGCTATCGTCGTTGGCGCTTGCCTCGCCCTTCTTTTCTTCTTTGTCCCCGAGACATTCTGGGATCGCACACCTCGGCCACGAAAGGCTCACAAGCGTCCCAGCTTTTACCGTAGCGTGTCGAACATTGTGTCCCATGGATTGCGCGGTCGACCGCCTCACGCTCATCGCCTGGAGGAGAATCCGCCGGATGATGACCCCAGCTCTCTAGAGCCGAAGAAGTCCAAGAAGGGTCATGTTGGGTTTGTGGATGACCATGACGAGGAACCAGAGACCATCTCTGAGAAGATAGAGGAGCCGGCTGGCCAGGATCCTATATCGTTCACACCAGAGCGTCCTGCCACTGAGTCGACGCCAAGCGAAGACCCTGAGAAGGCGGATGGGCTCCTTCATCCTCCGCCATTGGCACACATTCACCCCCATGACCTTGAAGCTGCTCGGGAAGCGGCGATCTCCCCAACCCGCAGTGAGTCGCTGGACCCGGGTCCGCCGATCACGTCGGCGGCTCAGTACACCAACCGACTGCGGGATCAGCCGCCCATCCCGTTTACTTACTATCTCCGCCCGTGGAATGGCCGGATTGCTCACGACAACTGGCTACGCGTCGCGGTGCGGCCATTCATTCTCTTTGCATATCCCTCTGTGCTGTGGTCGACTGTAGTGTATGCCTTGTCTGTCGGCTGGCTCATTGTGCTGTCCGAGTCGGTTGCTACAATTTATGAGCAGCGAGACACTTACAACTTTACCGCGCTGCAGACTGGTCTCATTTACATCTCGCCCTTCGTGGGCGGCTTGCTGGGTACCGCTGTTGCTGGTAAGGTGTCTGACATTATTGTGCAATATATGACACGACGCAACGGGGGCGTCTACGAGCCGGAGTTCCGGCTGGTGATGGCGATTCCCATTGCAATTTCGACCACCATTGGACTGATGGGATTCGGTTGGAGTGCGCAGGAGAAGGATGCTTGGATTGTGCCCACCATCTTCTTCGGGATCATCTCGTTTGGATGCTGCCTGGGAAGCACGACATCCATCACCTTTTGCGTCGACAGCTACCGCCAATATGCCGGGGAGGCACTGGTGACATTGAACTGGAGTAAGAGTAAGTTGCACCAAACATAGCATTCCCGAGTGATGTGGATCCGCAAACTAACGATGGATGCAGATGTCTTCCATGGGCTGATCTTTTCGCTGTTCATTGTTGACTGGCTGGATGCGGAGGGCTCCCGGTTGGTGTTTATCGCGCTGGGAGTGATTCAGCTGGGCTGTCTATTGTTTTCGATTCCCATGTACATTTATGGCAAACGGGCCCGGATGTGGACGGTTCGGATGCGCCTGATGGAACGATTCTAGAGGGCTGATTGGCCGGACCGGGACCCTATTGGAGGGACGGATCGGATGATTCTTGATTTTGGGTGTAGATCTGGGCTGTATCATGATACCTATCTATATTAGATCGTACATATAGTTGACTATTTGCTGACGATTGGAGCTGTCATATCGCCATCGAGCCCCATTTGACTGTGGGAGCAAGCCCTGCGGGGGTGCTGGGGCTGATGTCAAGGGAAGGCGAGGGCGGAATGTCATACAGCATCCACAATGAGTAATTGTTGCCCTGCAAGTCATCTTTTTCATGAATAGGAAGAGTAGTATGTGTGTGTGTGCATTTGTCCCGGGCCACCGACACAGCCACCCTTAACACATCCCACAGTCACCAAATTAATTTCAATTTAATATCCCGTCCCCATCCAAAAGTGAGGATCTCAAGTACCCATCCACAAGTATCTAGACCCAGTTAAGCAAGCCACAAATCTCCCCGCCCAATCCGGATTCTAGACCGCTTAGTCACCGCCATTGCATGGCCCGCCAGTTGAATGGCGGCTGAACGGGCACCAGCTGCAGCCCATGTCGATCATGATGCGCCCCACGACGTCAGAGAGCAGATGGGGCCTTACTAGTGACTGCCTTATTCAATTTGCCATCTCATTAGTGTGTAGATGTGCTGCAGCGGCTGAGCAAATCCGCACAAGATAGATAGACAGATAGTAGCCCGGGAAGTACCTCGACACCTGAGGAATGGACCAATGCGGCCAGACTGGCCCCTGACTGGTGGCTTGCCAGCCCGGAAACGGGGATTTAGAGCCAATTAGGATCCACAACAGACCCCTTGACCAACTGGATTGAGTCTAGCGCCAAACAGCAAAACCGGTATTGCGATGAAGAGACTGGCCAATCACGAATGGAATAGGACAGGCTGAAATCAATCTGAAATGTGTTTTGAATCACGGCGCGGAAGGGAGACCCTCGGTTACGGGATTGATTACGGGAGACGCCTGGTTGGAACCAGAGGAACGCAAGCAAAGCAAGTTGTATGATTAGACAAATTGATACTTTGGGTATCTGGTGGAGTTGGCATCCCGATCACTTGAGGTCCCATGCCATCCCATTCGTCGGGGCATTCGTCCATGATTCTGATCCAGTCTGCCAATACCTTCTTTTTCGCTTGCCACCTTTTACTCTTTTCTCGGTTGCCACGGGATGACTTTCAGGTACTACTGAGCACTGACTGACGACGCAACCCCCCAAAAGTAGTTGAATTGTGCCTGTCTGCCGTGGAATAAGCGTGGGCCGGAAATCCGACTTCCCACGGCTGCCATCTTCTTACAATACTGGCTCTGCTCGACTACAGACGCACTTTCGCCCTCTCCTGCACGCAGTCCTTGATATTAAACAGCTCGCTTTCCAACCTTGTTTCAGAGCTTTCCCTCTTTTTCTTCCCTTTCCCCTTCTCTTGCTGCTGCTTCTTCCTGATCTCTCTTCATCCTTTCTCTCTCTCCCTTCCATCAGCAGTTCTTCCTCCCTTCCTTCCTCCCCCCCGCCAGCATTTTTTGCCACACTCTATTCCAATCGGGCCAGCCACCATCTACTAGTCCCCACTCAGGCCAGGATGGATGCGTAAGGCAATCGACGCCATCGCTTGAACTACTCCCCTTCTAAACTTGATTCTCTCTCTCCCTCTACCTCTATCTCTTCCCCCCTCCTCTCGTCCCTCTATCCTCCTTCCCCATCTCCATATTCCCCCCACCATGGAGCTCGCTTCCCCTCCTCCGAGGGACGATGATCATAGCACTGGTCGGAGGGTGCGCGAGCTATATCGCTATTTCCGCCCCGAACGGACAGCCAGTTATCAGGAGCGCTATCAGAGTATCTCGTCCGACGACGCACCACCACCCACTATCCTTGATCCTTCTTTCCCGCCGCCATCCCCATCGCTATGCTCGCAATCGCAGTCCGGTCCCGCCATCGGTCCAACCTCGACGGGGCTAGTGCCCGAGGCCTTGGTCTTGGGTGACCCTAATGCGACTTTAACGTCTTTCGCGCAGCTGGCAGCTTTGCGTCTCAATGTTGAGCGCGTGTTGATCAGGTACGATACCAGTGCATCTCCTCGACATGTATTTTTTCGCCCTTGCCGTGCTGACTCAATGGGCATGTAAGTGTGTCAGATCGTCAGTCGCAATTTATCCTCGCCCAAAGCACTCGCACTGGCAAGGTCAGTGATTACGAGTCCGCTAGCGATGGCATTTGGAATGGCTGTTCGTCCATGTCCACCAATGCCTGGAGTATGTGTAAGGTGGGTACCTACTCGTCAGAGAAGTACGTAGATCGGTTACTCAACAAAGTATTGCGTCCTTCGTTGCAGGCTACTGTTGCGCTTCCGCCCAACAACCGAGAAAAAGGTCAACACAGCTTCCTGGTGATCGACGACCTGCGCGAGGATGATCGCTACAAGCGTCTTCAATTCGTGCAGGGCGAGCCAGGTTTCCGTTTCTATGCCGGAACGCCCTTGACAACCCACACCAACATCAACATCGGCTGCTTTTTCGTTCTGGATACCAAACCACACAATGGGTTGAATGACGTGGAGAAAGAGACCCTTGGGTCGTTGGCAGACTTGATCATGGATTATTTAAAGGTCAGCCGCCAGGCGTCAGAAGGTCGTCGTGCAACTCGATTGTCGCGCGGTCTCAGCTGCTTTGTCGAGGGCAGCTCCAGCTTCGTCGATGCTTCTCATCCGTCATTAGCTGGCAGCTCTGCCGCTGCACCTAGCACCCCACCATCGTCGAGCCAAAGAGCCAATCACTTGTCCGTAGGCTCCTTCAACAGCTTCGATATGCCGTCGAGACGCTCACACAGCACCGATGCCCGTTCTTTTAGCTCTGCATCGGATTATAAAGCCGATCAAGCAGTGTCGTCGGGTCCTGACACGCCACTACCAGACTGGTGGTCCGGTAACCGCCAGAAGGAATTGAAGGGAGTGGACGAGTCGCAGGGACACACTTGGGCGTTCCGACGAGCCGCAAACCTGATTCGGGAGAGTCTAGAACTGGGTTCCGATGGAGGTGTTATCTTCGTGGAGAACAGCAACAGTCCGATGCTGGACACGGACACTGGCAGCGATGGCTCTGTAGAGGGCAACACTCCTGCACCGGTGTTGGCGATTTCGACCAACGATGAGCCGTTTGCGCCGGGCCCAGGCTCCAAGGTGCTCTATCCTGCCGCGAATCTCGACAGCACGTTTCTGCATCAGCTCCTGCGACGCTACAGCAAGGGGAAGTTGTGGTCGTTTCATCGAGACGGTATGATTTCCAGCTCCGACGATGAGACCCCTCGACAGAGTCGATCGCGTGCGCCAAAGGGGCCGGAGATCGGCAAGGGTGGGTCGAAGAAGTGGAAATCCGTGGAGAACTCCATGCTGAACCTCTACTTTCCCAACGCGACTCAAGTTCTCTTCGTGCCGCTATGGAATTCCGCCAACTCTCAGTGGTTCGCCGGGTGTTTCTGCTGGAATACGGAAGAGACGCGCGTCTTCAGCTCGTCCGTGGAACTCAGTTCAATTCTGGGATTTGGTTCCTCCATAATGGCCGAGTGTAACCGGGTCGAGTCCCTCATTTCCGACCGGCAAAAGGGCGACTTCATTGGCAGTATCTCGTAAGCTTGGTTCTCTCACATGTCTCATTAAATACTAACCTTGTTCAGACACGAGTTGCGCAGTCCGCTGCACGGTATCTTGGCGGCCGCCGAGTTTTTGAATGGGACGAATCTGGATGAATTCCAGGGGTCTCTCCTGGAGACCATCAATGCCTGTGGGCGCACCTTGCTGGATACCATGAACCAGGTACTCGATTTTAGCAAGATCGTATCCTTGGAACGAACATATCGCAGCTTGAAGCGGAACAAGACATCGTCCACGGACGTCAAGGGCATGGACCGGTTTTCTGCCCACTTGGACACCTACGTGGCGACCGACTTGGCCCTTCTGGCAGAAGAGGTGGTAGAAGGCGTGTGCCTGGGTCATGCATATGGTCAACGATCCGCAGCCCCTTACGATCAGCCTGTTGTCTTGCCGCTTGCTCAGCAGGGCCAGATCCAACCCGACAAGGAAACGAAACCGAAACCTAGTTCTGAAGTTGAGGTGGTCATGGACATTGCTCACAACGATTGGGTCTATCAAACGCAGCCTGGAGCTCTGCGACGTATTGTTATGAACGTCTTTGGCAATGCCATGAAATACACGCACAGTGGTCGCGTGTCGCTGCACTTGGAAGTTACAGAGGCATCCGAGAGCCGCGTGCGTCGGAATGGTGTCGAAGAACTGGTGACTTTGACGGTGTCGGACACCGGCAAGGGTATCTCGGAGGAGTTCCTGCGTGGCCGCCTGTACACGCCTTTCGCCCAGGAGGATACGCTTGCCGTCGGCACAGGCCTGGGTCTTTCAATTGTGAGAAGTCTCGTCAAGGCGCTGAAGGGCAGCATCAACATCCACAGCCGGCCGGGAGAGGGAACTATCGTCAAGGTCTCGTTGCCTCTCGTGCGACCTGGCCCGGAACTGGAGCTGGAAGAACCTGTCCGTCCCGTGTCGCCATCTACGAGGGAGCAGGAGATGTTAACCGAATGCCGTCTGCTGCGCGAGGCCCATGTTGGCCGACGCGCCGCCATTCTTGGCGTGGATCCCGCCGACGCTGCCTCCCATCCTTTGTGGTCCATCTACGCGCGATACTTGACCGACTGGTATGGCCTCGAGCTTGTTTCATGGCCGTCGGGCACTCCTGTGGACGTTATCCTGGCGGAGGAGCAGAGCTTGTTGGATGGCCTGAGGCCAACCGGCGACGTGACTCTCCCTTCGCTCTTGATCCTCTGCAACAAATCTGTCGACTACACGACCGCGCGTTCGCAATGGGCATCCTTGGCGAATGTGGTCAACATCGTTCGCCGCCCATGTGGACCACACAAACTCGCTCGCAGCATCCGCAGATGTCTCGATACGCAGAATAGCAACACCGCGCCACACAGCC